AAGAATGCGTTCGCGGGCACCTATGAATTCAGGAGCTGCTGGGATTTAGAGCGTTTACAAGGGCCAAGCGGATCTCAGTGGCTTCTTCCCAATCAATGGGTGAACGCAAACGCATTCTTGCAGCCTCCGAGCACAAAGAAAAGCAGAAGCAACTCAAATGGGGACTGACAGGAAGTTTATACAATGACTATAAACAGAAATGGGTAGTCAAGGCTAAGCAGATGCAAAAGACAGAGGGAATAGCTTACACTAGAAAGTCATTTACAACTATTAAGTAAAGTCCGGTGAAAAGGTCAATGATTGGTGAGACTACAAAACAGAAGGATGGCTCTGTGATTCACTCACAATTCGAAGAGACTGCTGGGACGATGAACAGAACACTTCGATGCACTGCCTAACTGGCCTCCACCTACTATCCCGTTACCCGCAATACAGTCGTATCATCACGCATGAATGGAATATTGAGGTTGGACCCTACACCAAACACTTGCAAAAATCGATAAGTCTGCAAAATATGCTGAAAACGAGGAAGGCTAGAGTGGTCAGATGGACTGGAACCACCAGAGGTATTCAAGGACGCTGGTCCTGCATTATTGGTCGAATCAACTGGAGTGTTAACTGCTATACCCGAGTCATATATAATCCATCCTAACTCGTCTCAATCACTGATTGTCCCAGTTTTCAAAAAAGCAAAGGAATCCCCTTACAATAGCCACAAAGGAATCAACCTGATGAAGATAGTATCCCAGATCCCAGGTCCCATTAATTACCAAGCTTCAAAGCACCAAACCCGAAGAAAACAGACAGGATTCAGACCTAACCGTCCGTAGATCAACCAGACATTCACTCCTCAACAGATTATGCAACACAGGCACAGACACAGACACACTTATCAACCCCCAACACTATCTGTATTTTTCGACATGAAAGTAGTATTCTATTCCATCAATCGAGACGTCTTATGGCTACACCTCACCTCTCACTGGATGGAGGGCTGAGTAAGCAAATAACTATGTTGAAGGCTCTGTACTCGATCACGCGTGAGTGTGTTACACCCAATGGTATGTCCTTCCTTGACTTGTGTACATCAAATGGTGTCTGTCAAGGATGTCAGTTCTCTCCCCTATAATTCAAACTTCTCACAGACGCACATCTTCAGGCATCTCTCTCGTCATTTGAACTTACATGGACTGATCTTGTCACAATAGAATATTTGGTAGATTTGGAGTTCACAGATGACAGTTCTGTTAGGTGAAGATGCAGAGTTTTCTCGACACTTGGAGTGGCAATTTCGGAATGTCAGGGATATGCTTCTCAGTATGTGAATGCGAATTATTGCTCAATGACTGATATTCAGTGGTGTCTTGTCAAACAATATAGAATAGAGTAGTTGAGTGCGTCGACTAACGCTTTCGCCAGGAAAGTCGGATGAATCCTAGATGATTATTGACCGATGAAATCTCTGTATGGATATTAGATTCTCGATTGGCTTTCGTAAAATTACACCTACTGCGCCACCGTGATAACTGATTGTCTGCCGATGATCAAGTGGGCTGGGCTGCAGTTCACTCTCTTCTAGTATATCTTAGGGAAATAGGGCCACCAAAGGTGCAGCATATCAGAAGTATGCACGTATTTGACCACTATTTTTTCACAGTGCAGTTAGTTTGTCGTAGTGTCAGAACATCGCGTGGTAGAAGTCAAGCGTACAGTTTTGATGAAGAGTAGTTAATATCATGGATCTACATTGACTGAGGTACCTAGAAAGCGTACCGAACATGCTGAGTCACGGTAGGCCTCGTGGCAATAGAAATCGCTGGATGAAGACTATGGGTGAAACAGCTTAGAATTAATCTCATTGCGTAGACGTATTCACATCATATATTTACATGATTCTCATGATCAATTTCAGCACTGTTATTCCACCTTGTTCACTTTTAACGACTGCCTTCCGCTTTTAGCCGCTTCCCTTTTTATTTCTTTACATTCACCTTGTTTTACCGCCTGATGTGCTGATCTGAGGTGTGGCAATTTGGACGTCTATCCAATAATGCCTGGTCCTAAGTTGATTTTGTTTGTCTATCTGTCTGTCTGAGAAGTATGCTTTCTTCTTCACAACTAAATGATACACTGACACCAACAGGTTCACAGGAGCCGGCTATTGAATCTCCGGATACTTGTAAGATGTTTTTCGAGACTCACCACATTAAACAGGCATCGTCAAGGGAATACTACACATGACTCCTGCATGTATGTCTTAGAAATATAGAATGCACTCAAATCCAGGTTCCACAATTTTATTAATCAATGCCTGTTGACCGATTTCAACACCCAGTTTCAGATGTTGAGAACTCCAATGTGAAATCTGCAGCGAGGTTTAGGGGACTAGTAATAGTGTTTTAACGACTGGAACCTTTAATAGAGACCACAGGATGAGAAGTTCAAGAAGCCGTAAGAAGCCTAATGTTGGTAACAGGGAGTCAAGGCGAACGAGGAGACAAAGGTAAGTTATGAGGAGCTGGGTTTTTGTGTACTGCTAGAAGAGTGTGAACAGATGGTAGTTCCCAGCTGCCCACACCGTAGATGTTGTTTTCTGTAAAAGTACATGGAGTACGTGATCGAAGAGTGCAGGCAACATTCTCTGGAGGTCAGTCACACAGCCTCTACACAAGTTTTGGATTGAGATTTGATTGTTCTTGTGCTGCGAAGGAAACATCTGTACTGTCGATACCGAAAGACAGCGTGTCACAAGTGTGCTACTGTTAGAGCCAACGTATACTAACTCTTATTTCTGATATGGAACCCAGCATTAGCTTGGAAAATTTCACATCTGCATGAGACACCTTACTGCTGTTACATCTTGTACACCTCGCAGTGCGACTTTGCCGCCTGGTCCTCAATATAGTTTGAGTTATTTACACTGACGGTTTTGATTTGAGTCTTACCCTTATTCAGCAGAACTTTATAGCATAATAGGATCACAACGAACATTTGTTCGAGTGGTACACCTCTTTGGATCATTGCAAAATACGAACCTATGCACCAACTTAAGGGGACAGCTATCAGTCGGGCATCTGGCCTACGTAGTTGCTGTTTGTGAATTTGTCTTACCAGCTGAGACCAGTTTCTGTCTAATACATATCATAAATACTCAGGAAAAATCGGTAACCCTTGAAAATATTCCAAAATGGCTGTCTTGTTTGATAACTTCTGGAATAGGCAACACGAGAATATTTCACAACGGTTTTAGATATGAAATTTCTTTTCATTTAGCTGTTAAATTACGAACCAGGGTTTGGCAACTTACATGCCTAAAGCGTTAAAACATGCTTAAGCTAAGAAAGTAAATGTTCGACAAGCTACTTTGTCTAACTTGACTTCATTATACGTTCCAAAATGTCAATGATTACTTGGCTCTTCTGTTTAGTGAAAAAGGAAATGAATTAAAAATCCCATTCGTCGTCAGACAACTGCCTTACGGTTTTCAGTACTGAAGATATCGATTAAGATGATTGTGACAAGTGATAAGTCTATAACATGAAACCTATTTACCGGGTTATTGAATACCTTAAGTCGAATGATTACATATAGACTTCATGATTACAGCACACAGAGTGGCAGAAATCGGTACTTAGAAGCGTTACCAGTAAGTAAATCTACTGCTTCTTCATTTACCTTTGAGAATAATTTTCTTCGCGTATTACGTAGATATTCAACTCAAAACAATACAAGCTGTATGCACTAAGCCATAAGGACTGAGGATACTTCCTTATCTCCAAGGCTGAATTATGTGTCGTGCAGTTCAATCCTCCAATCCAAACCAAACCAATGAGCCACAGCCTCATACGTTTCTTCTTGTTGATCTTCTTCTTCCGTTCCCTTGAAACTTGTGACCATACAAGTGGATATACTGATTTGCATTTTATGTATTATTTCAACCATAGAACGAAACTGTTACTTAGTGTTATTGCTTGTATTATGCCATCGTTGATTGGACCGAATTGATCGGTCTCTAGTGGTATATGAGCTCCTGTACGGATACCTCGATATACTTCTGTTCTGGTTATCGTAAAGATGGATAGTGGCTAGCAGTGGAATCCAGGATGCGCATTTCGTCCTATTTGGAACTCGTCAGCTGGATACGCCTGCCTCCCAGTGAGTGATGTTGTTCCCACCGGGATTCCGACTCGGGAACGATGGTTTCAAACGCCAGAGCGTTATCCACTACATCACCGAGCCACGATAGCCACTCCTTGTGAGACGGGTATAGTTCTAGCATTATTGCTTGTATTACACCGTCGTTGATTGGACCGAATTGATCGGTCTCTGTTGGCATACAGGCAGGTACATCCAGCTGACGAGTTTCCAAATAGGACGAAATGCGCATCCTGGACTCCACTGCTAGCCATTATCCATTTCTACTGAAACTGTTATTTATTTGTAAAAATTGGAAGTAATAATAGCGAGCAATATGTAATTTATTTTGAGGTCAATGGAGATTTTAATTTCCAGGTAGTATTCATCACGGACTGACATGAGTTGGAGAACCGCTGAAACCTGAGAGCACAGGACAACTATTTCGTCCTAGTATGAGACTCAACATTACTCACCAATGACCCAGTATCTTCAGGTTTCACGGTGAACGGATTAACCATTCAGCCGCTGAGTTGGAGCTTAGTGGTCCAGTTTCTTACTTCTGTCAGTTCGCGATATAGCGTGACTATCATCCAAGGTTTTCAGGTAGCATTCACTTCACTTCCGGCTGGTTGATCCCACAGATCATGGCTCCTCTGCTTAAGAGTCCCATACTTTCATGAAACAGCTGTCCTGTGATCCCAGGTTTTCAATAATTCCCCAACTGATGTCAATCCGTGAGGAATACTACTTTAAAATATGCGATGGTTATGACAGAGCCTAACTGGTAGTTACAAATTCTCAAACATCCTTTAAAAATTATTTTCTCTGATAACTGCCAATTTTATGCTAATTTTCCGACTAAGGTTGTGCAGCTGAATACAAATATGGAACAGTGGATACTAGCCCAAGCAAGTGACGTGAAATTCGTACTGTATTTGTAGAAGAACGTAATCCTAGCACAAAATCACAACGTGACAGACACCGTCGTGATCGTAGAGAAAGGGATCGCGAATGGATTCATTTGTACGAGAAGCCTAGCCTACAGTATACGACACAAACAAATATATATTATTACTGTGTATCATTTATTTTATGAAACATTGTATGTTAGAATTTCTAAAAATCTGGCTAAAAATTTTTTCAAAATTCAGTAAATTAAAACAATTAACTACTATAGATAACCAATAAAGTATTCTATAAATAAAGAATAAGAACTAGTCTGTTCAAAGATTGGGGACATCAAATGAGAACTGTGTAACATATTCCACTGGATTGTGATGCCTTAAAACAATCTGATCAAATTAATGAATAAACACATATACAAGTAGAAAACAAACAAATGTCCTTTGATCCTTAACGTTATATTGCAAAACTAAACTTCTGAAACAAACATGCATAGCTGACACTATTTCTGTTTCGATAAGTCTTCAATGTTTACTCACTGTTAAGATAGTTCAATACTGTATAGAAAATAATGTAAGTCGACCTCAGTCAACAAAATTTTGGTGATATTTTTAAATTCCTTACAGCACCATGCAGTTGCAATCGCCTAACAAACACAGTATTCCATGATTAGCACATAACTATCTGCACCTACTTATTTATATTATAAGAAGTCACTGGTCCTCACAAAACGCACACTTCACATAAATAATTTGAATAATAATGATAGTTGAGTATTTGCTGATATAGCGGAGAATGCAGAGACATCATCCTTTGCTTTAGTAGTCATGTTACTGACGTTGCAAAACTATGGACCAATCAGAATATCAGTACAAATTATTATGAAACCAAACAGTAACGCTGAGATTTCTAATATGCTTCAGTTGTTGTAAACATAGCAAACTAGTTCAAAACTTTCAGCAAGATAAGGGATAGCACAACTGAGGAGAAAGTAATTAAATGTAGCAGAAAGTCATGAGAAAAAAAGGATAAAGGATAGGACAATAATGAAATGCGATATGAAGGTCGGGATTTAGGAAACGTCTGGATGCATTTGCACCACACATCAATTCTGAACAATATCACCTAATCTCCAACCACTGATTATGGTGTCACGCGAATCGCAGCAGAAAAGTTCACATTACCCTATGCAATCGAAACCAACACTCAGAAACTTCATGCAATAATGCCATGTTTTCGTCTGATCTCCCTTAACATTTTACTGACCAGATCTACTTCAACTAACACTGCACGACCCGACAGACGTTGGGTGACTAGGGACGTACCACTTATGTTCCATCTATCTGAATCGATGAAGGTTCACAACACCATCAACTGACTTCTCCTACCAAAACGTCTACTCCTGACTATTAGTTTACTAACGTGTTGATATCAAGACATGTGGCCTGTACTACGAAGGTAACGGTGGTCAACACCTTAAACTTTCTCACATCCAAAACATTTAATGGCCATGTTTCCTAGCCATACAATAGAACAAGGTGAACTGCTGCACAGTTCATTTTGCGTTTCAGGGATTTCATAGAGGCTGTATAAACGGTATAAGATGGCTAAAGCAAATGGAATATTTTGTACTCATGAAGATTTCATAGGTCTTCAATTCATCACAGCTGATCCGACTTCCTAAGAGAAGTGGTCAGTGCACTCATTCACTTCAACTCCCCTATTAGACGAGGCATCAACGTGAACCAAACCTGCAACAACAAGTTTCATCAAAGTAACGAGAAGCGTATCCTAAAAATTCTCAATCTATCACTTAGCATATCTAATGGACTGCATCTTCCCCTGACAGGACTACTTCATCTGCATACTTTAAGTCTACCGAGGACTCTTCTGTAACAAGATCAATTCGTATAAGGTCACGTGGAGTGCTGAAAACCTCCACCTAAGGGAAGTACGTCATCTGAACACTTCAAGTCATCCAGGAAACCTAAATGGACCAAATAACTCTCTGCAAAGTCGGGCATGCATACGACTATGCACATTAGCACGTCTGAGAAAAACTCAACCAACAATGGGAACAAGGCATTTCAGACAGGCACCATTGCTTGTCATTCATTCAACCGAGAACTCTCCACAAACCCTGCTTCACTTCGAGCACATAAACTTGATGCCCACAATAAACTTGGAACTCTGTTCACATCCAAACATACCTGTGGCTCAGTGGTTCCAAGAGATAACTATCAACTATTCGGTCATCAGTTCGAGCCCCAAGCCACCTACCGATATTTATCAAGCCAGATAGTATCACTAGCCCTCGCACTATAGGTGTGGCTCACTGCACATATGTCCACAAGGTGATTGAGTGCGTTTCGTTCGTTCCACATTCAGACACTGACACAACAGCTCTCACTCGACTTAGTGCAAGGCCGCATTCAGTCAGTCGTCAAGTACGTGCACACTCTAAAACCTATCTAGGAGCTAGGACACGATTAATCCACACTCATCCAGGTCCAATACTTGACTGATTCTCCCCACTCTCTTATTTCTCAGCTCCAGTTAAGTATCGAATGAATATGGACCAGAGCATCGCAAATACGATATCAGAAAAACTGATAACCACCACCTCCATATTAACCGGAATGATCAGCGATCTACATCAGTCTCATGCAACTACTTCGAATCCCCTACACCAGCTAGTATATCAGGCACCCCACTAGGGGATTTCTGCGGACATCAATAAAAAATTACTAGTGACAAATCGTCACTTCCTGCTGCTTCGCGCCGCTTCAGCTATGAAACAGATTTCTCACCTTCGAGGGGAGACGGTTCAAAAGATATACTAGGCAATCGAAAGAGTAACTGCAGGACGTCTCACCCGTTTTTCAAGGTTCCGTTCAAAGTTATAGCCGTCTACCATAGAGGTTACCAGTGATGAAACCTTCTGAGTGATAGTTACACCAAGCAGCATCTTCCTTACATCCACACTTATCGACCTAATAATTGTATAGTATTAACTTATGATGATGCCTTCTTCATCAACGTCAATTTCCCCATCCATCAATCCCCACGGTCTTTACGAAGACTTTTAGTCATCACACTGCTTTCGCTTTCCATTGTAGTAAGATCCATCGGAGATCGGCCTCCAAGTATCCACCACTTTGCATAAAGTCCCTAGCTTTCCCCTATCTTTGACTGACGGCTACCAACATTCTTTACCACTACTTCTACAGCAGATTGAATATCATGCCTAGCTTCAACATGATAACATATGATGTAATTCTCAGCTTTATGTTGATCTATCTCCCCTCTAAATACACACTTGATGTTCTCATCTTTCAGTAAGCACACAGAAGCTTCACTGTCCCCTGTTTCCTGCACACTCATCAAGATGCAAACGTACACGTGCTCCAACTAGCACCTTATCGGAGTCTACACAGCTGATTGCGACAATGTGCAAACGTTTGAACTCAATGTTGGTCAGAAAAAATTGACTGTCGGAATAAAATTGTAAGAAACAACTGTGATTTCCAGTTTAGTGGCATAAATTATCATAGATATTCAGGAGAGACCTTTCAGTTTCCCCATTCCAGCCTTAAGGTCACCTACTACTATGACTATATCTGAACATTTTGCCTTAGTAAAATTGACAGCTCTAGATACAATTCATTCTTTGTATCATATGAACTGATTTCAGTGGGCTGAGATGGACAATAGGCATCAGGGAGTGTCACCATCCTTATACTTTCATTCAGTCGGACAACTTACCAACAACAATCGACTGGTATCCAGTTGAGAAGTACACTTTCTGCTCCATAGCTAAATGCTACATTGCATCTACACTGGTAAGTTCACAAGAGCTAGTCATTGAATCTCCAGATATTCGTGAGGTGAGTTCGAAAACTCACCACAATATCTAGATTATTATCCAAATAGATCCGGTATGTTCATCTCATAACTAAACAACCAAGAGCACTAAATTAACCAAATTAATATTCCGTGATCGTCAAAATGAAAGGCCTCTAAGTTTTGACTTAACTGTTCGATTTCAGAGGTGCATTCAGTTAACAGATGTATGGTGCACAACCGCGGGCTAGTCATAGGCCAGAGTGCATATCCTAAAATTTTCAAGATACTAGCCATATGTCTGGAATTTATCCAAAATGTTTAGCTTTGTCGACTACTTACTTTGTCGAACCACTATCTTTTGTTCAGTTACAAAGTTCTGAATGATATTTATTTAATTCACAAGTTCAACTTTTTGGAAAAAACTAATTTGCACTTCGTCCGAAATACAAAAACGAATGATGCATTAGACATCGATAATAAGCTTGGTCAACAAGCACTCAAGAGTCATCGAGCCAGAGTGAGTATGCCAGCCACTGCGTTGGGGATGAAGTGCCTTTCCGAACAAGATTATACCAGATGGGAAAGGAGAATGCAAACAAAACTTCAGATAGTCCCCTAAAGATGGCAAACTGAATCATTAGAAGAGTTCAACTTTAAACTTTCTATAAGTGATTCGAAAAAATTACATCTATTACATGAAATGCTGTAGTAACAGTAAGTAACAATTTTCATTTTGTTTCACATACAGCACAAGCGTTACATGTTATTAAATATAGTTCGCAGTGGAGCACTGTGAAATCAAATATATTACAGCGTGAGCAGTCGTTGGAGGTGGGAATCAAGAACAATGCAGAGAAAGAAAGCGCAAGCAGACAGAATTGAGTTGGTATATATTTTTTTAAATACTTCAGGTATGTTGGAAACTGACAATTCCTAGCCATAAAGTTGTTCCGATGATGGAAGTACAAGCGGCAAAAAGGTATGAGACTGCTTATGATTACTTCCAAATTACTGCATTTTGTCAGAAAATGGGTACACTTTAAAAACCTTTATCACTAGGATTCTAACTTCGTGAAGACAAGAAGTGTACTTATCAATGTCATTCTTTAGAATTCTCAACTAGATGATAAGTAGTTATCCCGACCCCCACAGGATAATAATTATCTATGGTAAATACCTTAAGGTTGTTATTCTAGCACACCCAACACTAATAAATCAACAACACGCCTGAAACTGTTTCGCTAATTTCCATACTATGAAAGTAGTTTCAACTTCTTTTTTCAAACAACCTGTTGGACATCAAAGAATAAACGTTCCGATCAGTATAAATCAACTTGGATATCATAAGCTGGCCACGGCCACTTTCACTTTTATAGTGTGTGATACGACTCCCCAGGTTCACACTAAAGCCCTACCATCCCTGAAGCCTTTCACAATCAATCGCCTTGCATTCAAGTCTCGAGAAGAAGCATGTGAACCAATAAGCGAGTATCAGATTAGTTGGAGACAAAATCGATAGGATACGCCCCTTCTAGGAAGGCTTAAAAATTATCACGACCATTGTAAATATATAAACCGTTGCATTTTGTACACATTTTGACGTTGAAATACACTTTCTACTATCTTACCATCTTTTTTATTTCCAAGGAACTAAGAGATCATCAAGGATGAAATCTAAAGATTATTATCAAGGGTCCACTTTCACATATATTTCAGCAGGATACATCACTGACAAAAGGATATGAATAAGTAGAAGATAATGCAGTTTAAAAGAAAAAACACCATCCTAGTAACACAGGAAAACAGGAAAAAAATGTATCTCTGCACTCATGATAAAGAAAAAGAACTAATTCAAGAGTATGTGTGTGTAGGAATAGTGAAGATCTCTGCTTCATGTTTCCTACAACTAATTTATACACAGAATGGAGTTTTTAACCATAGTAGGTTAGGGATTGATACACGAAAAACTAATGATCAGAAGAAAACATGATGATAGCTAAGTATCATTCGTTCTCTCATTCGCAGGTATTTTACATATTGAAAATGAAAAGGATAAAAACTTTTTCATGATTTAGAATCAATGATATGACAGTCGTTCTCTGAGGATATTTCAGAAGACACATTATTCAGCCGTTTTGCAGGAGGTATAAGAAATGAATCCAAAGTCACTCTCTTCCGACCTGGTGTTTGAGATAAACTAGTCACTTTCGAAGAACCATTCTCTTGACTGATACTGGTAGACAAACTAGCATCCTTTTCGGAAGCATGAACTTTATTTGATAAAACGGATCGATCTTGTCTATGAGTTGATTCTTTTTCAGTTTGTCTCAGAGGACCCATTACACTTGGCGAAGACAATGGCTGTGCAGGCTGTGGTACAGTAAGCGGGAATCGTTATTAAGCACGCCATTTTGATCTGACTCTACCAAACAATCTGTGGCAGCTGGTAATTCCACGGACCGACGGTTTATAGGTACACGACTTACTCTAGTACTAGTTGCTGCTACATCTGTTAGGTATTGCCATGAAGGAAATGTGAAGCTATTTAGGTAGTCCTTATCAACTTTTTCCACAATACCTAACTCCTGAATATTGCATACACTGCATAAGCGTGATGCATACTTTTGAAGCACCCCAGGATTAACCATCCACCTAAAGAAAAGTATTAAAAAAAAAAAAAAAGAAAAATGCATATAACACGGTTATACAAATTAAAACTAACTAACGGTAGGCGATGGTAAAAATAGTAACATCCATGAGCTATAAGCAGTCGAAAGTACTTTACCTCTAAAAACTCACTGCATATTGAACTAATAAAGCATTTGCAGAGATTCCCTAACCCACTTTGTCAATTTAACCAGTGTTAGGATTGAACAAGTATACAAATAGAGCATACTTTTGGACAATAAAGACTCTAAATATTTACACTATGTGCAAAATTACCCATTTTTACTATTCACTGGTGCAACAACGTTGGGTGAAAAAAGACTAACTTAATCTATTTCTATTGCGTAGTTCAACTACTATACAGAGTAACTGCCAAACAAGAAACAACCAAATTACCTTGATCGTCAATATTATGAATAACAAGAAACACGCTTGCATCAAATATATGTGTCATTGATAGGATGATTTCAAACTCCCCAGTAAGTAATTACTGATATTCTGGAGACATTCTAATCTCACTATCTTCAAAAAAGTTATTAGTTACCCTGTTATAACTAATGGCCACCCAAGTTATCCATTAGAATCACAGTTCCTAGCATTCGCTGAAACAGAAAAGGTCAATATCTTCAACAGCTGTGACATTTTAATGAAAGAGATATATAACAAGTTATAAGCGATAAGTATTTCTTGATAAAATTATTACTATGCACATGGCAGCATTCGCTACGATTCAATTGCCACATACACAAGTTAGGCGAAAAGTATGCAACATATGCGAATATATTCTCCCAAAATCTTGATACAGCAGCCGAAGAGGAAAAAAGAATAGATATCCGGTCGATGTACTAATGTTAGGCGCAAAAGCTATCCCCAACCAGTCTAAGCGCCTTAACTCTCTGGCAATCACTTATTCCAACCACAGAGGACAGACAACATCGATGTACGTCCTCGAAAAACACTCAGTGTGTGTGTGTGTGTGTGTGTGTGTGTGTTCCAGAGAAAATTTCGTTTGAATGTAATGTGCTCACATTAGACCCAAGAATACTGACCCTTGGAATAACCGCTCATATCACACCTTCATAAATCCGTCCCAGAAACAATTAAAACATCAAACTGTGAACTTCAAGAAGAGCAAACATCCTCAACATTTAAGTTTTCAAATGGGGATGTGCGCCCGATCGAATCACAGGATAGTTAACGACTGACCATTTGTGACCTACTCTCATTCAAAGGTTAGCTAGTCAGAAAAACTGTTTGCATCCATACACGTAAGCAGAAGTACCGTTATATGCTAAAAAAATAAGTAAATAGAAAACCCAAATTATGTCAATATCTCTGATAAGTTCGAATTTCCCGACAGACAGATGCCAAATTCACGTGATGATCAAGATGGCCCAACAAGGTATCCTGATGGGACGCTTGTCACCTCGAGGTCTCACCATTCCAAAAAGGTTTGTTGGAAAAACCAGTTAACATTAGACTGCAAACTCTTACATTATGATCGGGCTCCGACAGTGAAGTAGTGACGCTGACTAAAAGGAGGGAAGAAAACAGCAACGTGTTTCAAACAGATGACAAGAACTTCCACGCTGATGATACCTTCACCTATGAGAAGAAGATATAACAAAAGGTTGGTTCAAAAAGAAAACGTATACGCCCTTCCTCCGGATGACAAACCAGTGCCGAAAACGTGGATTCAAAATTCAGTCTCAAACTCCGGAAATGGCTGTGTGAATAAGCACAACCAGATGTCTCCTCCGTAAGGTGGCAAGGAACAACTTTTACTAACCCAAATTCTTCCTCACCCACATCAAGAATTAATAGCCTCCCACACAATGGACACCCGACAAGTGTTAGCCACCCCCACAAACCTGTAACCAATCAATTACCTCAAATCACTCTCCATCCTCCACCTTCCACATCCTTAACGTCTAATCTACCTTCACGTCTCTCACTCAACATCACTAATCTCTTCTAGCTCTGCAGACCTTGGTCAACATCTCAGTTCACAGAATAGCGTCACTGGTCTAATTATACTCAGATCCAAACTATACACTCGCGCTCCCAATGTCCGAACCCTCCATCAAATCCACCAACCAGCTTCACCAGCCGAAACTCTGGTATCGCAAACCATGGATGCGTGTTGTGTTCGTGAGACACAGACGAGATCGAAGTGTACTTACCCACTTAACCTCATCAGGTCAATATAATGAATCCGCAAAATTCATGCTTACAGTTTCTGCAGATCCTATGGTTAGGTACGGTGGTCTTCCAAGCATAGACAGATCACTGAGCGCTAAGGAAGAAAAGTCAGTTCAACTGGATCCTAATTCACAGTCGATTAGGTACTGTTCGACTGAACTGAGAACCATAAAGAACAGTGAAACTCACCGCTGTCTCCCCGTATTCTCTGCTTCCTTATACACCCAATGACCGCAATACAAAAGAAGAGAAGAATAAGTTCTACAGAAAACTGTCTAGCCTCCCACTGACATCGAAATGTTCAGATATGCTTGTCATTGTAGATGACTTCAATGAACACGTCCGTACGCCAACACAGGCAGAAAACCACTTGCGTAGCACATTCAGAATCTCGACAGAAATGCGATTGAATGCTACAACTGTCCTCAGACAACCATTTATTTCTGGTCGGTATGAATTCTAGACATAAAGAGAGATGTAGTCTGACGTGACACCAATTGATCTCAACTCACAGTGATTAGACTGACTGAGACAACCAAATCACACGCATATGCATTAGATCAAGTCCCCACACTTCACAGTAGTACACAAAAAACAGGTGAATAGAAAAAGGGTGATATCAAAGCACAAAAAGTTGTGAGATAGTAAACAATCTGAAGATAAAGGTTAGCGTGAATATTCAAGCTTTAGAATATGGCAATGAGTGAATACATCTGTGCTATTGTGAGCGATCTTCAGCCATGTTACCAGGAGTTCTCAACCACTAATTCCTTTCATCTCGAGGACCGCAGGCACCTAGACTACGTCTTCCCACATGCCTCAGGCCGACATTAAGAGTGGTGCCAAGTCTGCATCTGGCCATGCTGAACCTTTTCCAAACCTAATCCAACTTCCCATCTCACCAAACTCTCAGTTAGGCAGTGGTTGGGCATGCGCAGTACATGTCCAACTCACCTCAGTTGACCAAGGTTTACAACCTCATCAATCAACTAGCCTGGCTTACCTAGTACCTTCACCTGACCTTAAACTTGCTCACACGGTGATTCCACCAAACACGAGCAAAACTATGAAGACACCTATGTCTTCTACTTTCAACAACCATGTCTCACAGTCACACAAGAGGACGAAACAGACTGCAGACCAATATAATCGTTTTTTGCTAGATAGTTGGGTATCTCACGATTTGGCCCCAGAGATAACACAAGCTAGCAGATGCCAAACAGGCCATTTCATATCCAAGCTGAGATTTTGTCAGAAACCGGGTAGTGCGGGCTGATGTAACTTCCCAGGTAGGTAAATTTGTCGACACATTCCACTACTTCACTCCCTATCATTAAATTGGGAGCGGTTTCAGACCAGGATGTCCCTGGCTAACAACAAGTTGTCATCAATTCACGTGACGGCTGCCCATAAGCCCTTCTGCAGCTTCATGAGTTCCAGTGGAGAGCTTTGATTGGCGATACATACTTGATCAGTATTCACTCCACAGTCAGATACTGCAACAACAACTAACAATCGACTGAGTCGAATTTCGTTATCATGTCAAAGAAGGTGGGAAGTGTTGGCCACCAGTATGTATGCCTGATGAAGGGTGTCAATCTCATAGATCCACCCTCACCCAGCTCTGTTTGAAACCTGTCTGGTTCGATCGAGTTTGCTGTTCTCATTCCCCAGACAGGGGTTGGATGAATATAAACGCTAGGATCTTGGACACAATATTAATCAAACTAATTCCCATATGGTTGTCGCATGAAGACTTCTCTCCCTTCACATACACTAGAAGGGTCAGTGAAGTACACCAGTTTGACGACACTACCTCTGATCCGCACACACTAACTAGTACCTCCGTCACTTTAATTAACGATTTCCTACCTCCATCCTTGAAAACTGCATTTATCAAGCCATCATGTCCTGTTTGCTTTGCATCGTTTCAGATGCCATACAGCTTTCTCAACTTTGAAGAGAGTTGAAGGACTGTCAGCCACGTCCCATTCAGGTTCGGGCTGGCTGGATGTTGGGAACTGAAACCAGTTGAACTGTGTTTCAAAGTTTTCTATCCAACGTTTTAACTACCTGACGTGAGAGGTCATCAGCGTTCCATCCCCTTCGGTGACGGTTTAACTCTCCATCGCCTTCTTCTTGTCAGTATCCTTAACATGCCTAAGTAGCTGCCAAGTGCTATCTATCGCTGATGCCTTCTCCATCTTTCTCCCTTTCGTCAACCACCACTGCTCGCGATCGGCACGAAAACAACGTGGTTAGAACCGGATAGCTGGAACCAGTCTACTTACATCAATCAGTTCCGATGATGACGCGGAAATTCAGTGACGTTGGGTAACATTCGGCTGTAGGCTACCAACTATCTTTACCGCTCTTTCTACATTAGTTTGAATATCACGCTTTTTCCTCCAACTATGTGCATTGTTGTCACGTTCACACAAATGCACAACTAACTCCTCCCTAAAAGCAGACTTGAAGTTCTCATCATCCAACTGACTACAGACCAGCTTTACTATCACCTGTTTCCTCCCACCAGTAAGGCGAAAACATACAGGAGCCTGTACTAGCGCGTGATCGAAGTCAAAACAAGCACTACGTAGATATCAGAGTCCCTCCACCAAAGGCTTATCGCAATGTGATCTATCTGTGTCCATCGCTGATTTCAAGTCGGCGGACGTCAAGTGAAACAGTGTCTCTTCTTATGTCTGAAGTTAGTGCTGGCCAGAAACAAGTGATTGTTGGAGCGAGTCCACGAGACCATTGAGTCTCCAGATACTCGTAAGGGAAATTTTGAATATCAACCTTTCCTAACTCCACCTTCCCACTCAGAAGGCAGCATCAGCATTACACTTCCGGCCATCCCACAGGGAACAACTCACTGCTGTCACACCACATCCAGCTAGCAGCGGTACGATTTCGCTCTCAGACCCCCACCATAGTGTGGCAATTTACGCTACAACAGTAACTGCTTTTCGTCTTAACACTATCCAGCTGATGTTTCTGGTATCGTAGGACTCCAAGGGAACAATTGACTTCGATCAGCATGCTTCGTTGGATCATTATGATCTGCAAGCCCGACCACTACTTCAAGGTACCAGCTACAGGCAGGAATAATGATTAGCAGGGGCCATCTTCTTGGTCTTGGCTCCCCGTCACTGTTTGCATTCATTGCGCAGACTTCTGGTTAGTCCAAATTTGAGTTGATTTCGCTTTTCATTGTCCTCGGAGGCTGCAAGAATGCGTTCGCGGGCACCTATGAATTCAGGAGCTGCTGGGATTTAGAGCGTTTACAAGGGCCAAGCGGATCTCAGTGGCTTCTTCCCAATCAATGGGTGAACGCAAACGCATTCTTGCAGCCTCCGAGCACAAAGAAAAGCAGAAGCAACTCAAATGGGGACTGACAGGAAGTTTATACAATGACTATAAACAGAAATGGGTAGTCAAGGCTAAGCAGATGCAAAAGACAGAGGGAATAGCTTACACTAGAAAGTCATTTACAACTATTAAGTAAAGTCCGGTGAAAAGGTCAATGATTGGTGAGACTACAAAACAGAAGGATGGCTCTGTGATTCACTCACAATTCGAAGAGACTGCTGGGACGATGAACAGAACACTTCGATGCACTGCCTAACTGGCCTCCACCTACTATCCCGTTACCCGCAATACAGTCGTATCATCACGCATGAATGGAATATTGAGGTTGGACCCTACACCAAACACTTGCAAAAATCGATAAGTCTGCAAAATATGCTGAAAACGAGGAAGGCTAGAGTGGTCAGATGGACTGGAACCACCAGAGGTATTCAAGGACGCTGGTCCTGCATTATTGGTCGAATCAACTGGAGTGTTAACTGCTATACCCGAGTCATATATAATCCATCCTAACTCGTCTCAATCACTGATTGTCCCAGTTTTCAAAAAAGCAAAGGAATCCCCTTACAATAGCCACAAAGGAATCAACCTGATGAAGATAGTATCCCAGATCCCAGGTCCCATTAATTACCAAGCTTCAAAGCACCAAACCCGAAGAAAACAGACAGGATTCAGACCTAACCGTCCGTAGATCAACCAGACATTCACTCCTCAACAGATTATGCAACACAGGCACAGACACAGACACACTTATCAACCCCCAACACTATCTGTATTTTTCGACATGAAAGTAGTATTCTATTCCATCAATCGAGACGTCTTATGGCTACACCTCACCTCTCACTGGATGGAGGGCTGAGTAAGCAAATAACTATGTTGAAGGCTCTGTACTCGATCACGCGTGAGTGTGTTACACCCAATGGTATGTCCTTCCTTGACTTGTGTACATCAAATGGTGTCTGTCAAGGATGTCAGTTCTCTCCCCTATAATTCAAACTTCTCACAGACGCACATCTTCAGGCATCTCTCTCGTCATTTGAACTTACATGGACTGATCTTGTCACAATAGAATATTTGGTAGATTTGGAGTTCACAGATGACAGTTCTGTTAGGTGAAGATGCAGAGTTTTCTCGACACTTGGAGTGGCAATTTCGGAATGTCAGGGATATGCTTCTCAGTATGTGAATGCGAATTATTGCTCAATGACTGATATTCAGTGGTGTCTTGTCAAACAATATAGAGTACAGTAGTTGTGTGAGTTGATCATTTTAATTACCCAGGAAGTCTGCATGGGTACAAAGAGGTCGATTGGCAACCGCCAACTACGCCATCCATGGCACCCCCATGATATCAAATCACCTATAGGGATCAAGTGAATAGCGCTCCAGTTCTCTGTGTTTCACTAGATTGCTGTGAAATAGGGCCATCAAAGATGGAGGATATAAGAAGGCTCCAGGGTTTGGTGACCGTTGACTCTATAGTATTGGCTGTGAATCATAGTTAGTAAGATCACGTCGTGAACCCATATTCACTCAGATGCCTGGAATATCTATCAAATATCCCTAGTCATCCACCATCTGACTCGTTACATAACGTAAGGTGAAGTAAATTCAGACCGGAAAAAGGTTAGAGACGGTCAGACTAGAACATGGCTTCATTCCAAGAAGTCTTCAACTGTCGATCTGAGATAAGTGAGGAGGTGTAAACTTTTCGGTTGGGGTGTGTGACACCAGAAGCTGGGAGTTAGACACGATGATATGGCTCAGAACCAATGTTTGGCACAGAAGTACCCCCCACATTGTCATTTTAATTGTCGAACTGAATGTCAGTTTTCTTTATCATTCTTCCTTTCTGATGACTTTCTACCACTTCTGGCTGCTTTCTTCTTTATCTTTCTTTATTTTCTTCTTTTCTTCTTCTTTTATTTTCTTTCTTTTTCTTTATTTTTCATCTCGTTTGATGTGCCGATGTGAGAAGTGGTAACTTGAACCGTTACGCGGTATCGCCAGGTCGTGATGATTTTGTGTCTTCTGATTTATAAGCGACTGACTGTTAAGAGAAACATAACAGAAAAATCCCAGTGCCAATTTTGAAACTACCAATCACGATGTCTTAGCTAAGTCATCACAGTTAACATTTGCAACGAAACAGTAAGGAGTGAATAAGTGTCGGTATTAGGCTACTAAGTTACTACATATTGCCGATGATATAGACAGCTTGGTACTTACTAAATGCACCCAAAATTAGGATTAGCATTCACCATTGTATTTTTCGTGTTTCTAATAAAAATACAGTAGAACAGCGTTATTTCATGACTCCCTAAATTGCAAATGTAGTCTAATCTCTTCATAAAAACATTATAAGCACGTAGGACTAAAATATGTGCAGATTAAAAATCAATCAAATTCAAGTGAGCAGGGATATATACAGGTTTGTGTACTAGGCCATTAACTTTATCCGTCATGTAAGAAGTGGATGATACTATCCGGATTGCTAGCCAGGTCGAAATTAGCAGTCAGATTCGGGACCAATGGTCAAATAACCGACAAATGCACTGGTAAATCACTGACTGATTGCAGTCCCCCTAGGCAAACTTAGAAGTCTACAAAAACGATTAACAAAACGAAATTACTTGTTAAGTAATTAATATCAAGTCTCCTTGATTTGTAATAGGGAATAAACCACTTAGAGTAGGTTGCCAATACGTTGAATAGTTTGGCTTACATCTGATCTACAAACACTACACGCTGTAAGAAACCCTGGAAAAAACAACATAAGTAAACCGTAAATACAGAGTACCTTGTAACGCTTATGAATTTGGAAGGGGGAGTGTAGTATGTTTATGCAGAGTAGCATCTGCGTTGAAAATACCTCTTGCAATTCACTACTTACTTTCCTTCCGCAAAAACAGCAATTTCAGCTAGTTTGGACAACACAAGATACTGGCTTAGTGGTAAATTATCCCAAGCAGGTCCAGACAACACAGCACCACGTGAAACGGATGATCCCATTGCACTAGCATTATGCCTTTTGTATTCCATATATTGAAGACATTCTGGTAAACTCCCAGTGGTGTGGCGATGCCAAAAGACGCGGAATTCGAAAGCTAATTTATGCTTTCCCAAATGACTTCGATGAACAAGATGAATAAAATACGGCATAGCTACAAAAAGAAACGAACAAGTCGAATAAAATACTTCAAGTTAAAGAGAATGCATAAAACCTTATCACTGAATCACAACTACCTCTTATAGTTTGATTTGACTCTTCATTAGCCTAAGTCAATCCAAGAGCTTATTTCGCCTTGAGCAAAGTACTCCACCACCGGAGCACAGGAACATGTTTTATACAATCCCGCCTTACAAGGAAGTGATTAGGAGAAGAAAAGTTAAGTAAAATGAGCACTGCTAAAGAAAAAAACCAATCAATAAAAGGATTCAGAATCTAACTAACAGGAAAATAGGATATACAAACAAGCCGGTAACAGTAATTACAGTGAGTCAGCTTGGTAGTTTCAATTTTTATTCCTAGTTGGTACCTACCTTTAGGAATTTTTAAAAATCAAATCTAATTTCATCCGAAACTAGACTACATTCATTTGGATACCTAACAGAGATAACTTGGCTACAGGTCGAATAATAGGGGCTATTCTCTAGCCCTTTGTGTAAATTTGAACTTACTTATGGCTGGCACATATTTTCGGTACTGATACACGTTATACTGATCACTTCAAGGATGATTTTCGTACATGAACTCAGGAAGACCGATGTGCTCCCATCCCAAGCGAAATAAAAAACTGTTATGTGCTACCATATGAATCTATTCTAATCTATTTTACTTTATGATTGTGAAACATAATCATTTAAGGTGGACGACATGAAGCTTTAAATGTCTGACCACCGCTACCTTCGTAGTACAGGCCACATGTCTTGATATCAACACGTTAGTAAACTAATAGTCAGGAGTAGACGTTTTGGTAGGAGAAGTCAGTTGATGGTGTTGTGAACCTTCATTGATTCAGATAGGTGGAACATAAGTGGCACTTCCCTAGTCACCCAACGTCTGTCGGGTCATGCAGTGTTAGTTGAAGTAGATCTGGTCAGTAAAATGTTAAGGGAGATCAGACGAAAACATGGCATTATTGCATGAAGTTTCTGAGTGTTGGTTTCGATTGCATAGGGTAATGTGAACTTTTCTGCTGCGATTCGCGTGACAACCATAATCAGTGGTTGGAGATTAGGTGATATTGTTCAGAATTGATGTGTGGTGCAAATGCATCCAGACGCTTCCTAAATCCCGACCTTCATATCACATTTCACTATTGTCCTATCCTTTATCCTTTTTTTCTCATGACTTTCTGCTACATTTAATTACTTTCTCCTCAGTTGTGCTATCCCTTATCTTGCTGTCTAAATATGATGTGTGGTGCAGTAAGCTTGTGGTCCATCACACAGTAATGCCAGACTGATTGATGATATCCATCAGCCACACAAGCTGTCGAACTTCACAGAAATAAGTAAAAAAAATAAGTGAGTAGAAAAAGGATGATATTAATGTAGACGAAAGTGTGCAAGGAGAAAATAAGCGTAGACGAAGTTAGTGAAAATGGTCAAGATCTCGAAGTTAACAAGAAAGTGTACACATCTGATGCACTGCGAGCGATTCCAAGTTATAATACCAAGTCTCCAGTCACTGACCTCTTACCGCTTGAGAAGCCAAGCCAGGTAGTCTACATCCTTCTACACACTTCAGGACAGTGATCAAAGACTTCACGGAGTGATGTCAACTCCTTCTCTTGCCACGCTTAGCTTTCTTCTAGCTCAATCCTACTTCAGTTAACATTGCATGTCGTGGTAGGTGGTGGCTCAGCACTCGCAAGATACTTCAGTCGGTGAAGGTGTATAACTACGTCGACTGACTTGTCTCCACTGCTTAGTTCTCTTCGCCTGACTTTGATACTGCTTAAACGTTGATAAAACTACATGCTACGAAAACGCTATGATCAAAACCTGTGATATCGTAGCTTTTGCACTCGTAATGACCATTTTTCAAAGTTGCGAACTAGAGAAGAACAAACTGTTGCACGGTATATTCATCCTTCAAAGGGGAGTTGGATATATCATCGGATCCGCTGATTGCATAAGTCGACCATTGTCAAATCAGTCTTCCATCAGCAGTTAACCCACTCAAGCTAATTATCACATTCAACTACTTACCTGCCTACCTTGGAGTCGTTGCGGGGCAGCCGTTTTCATAGGTAGGAAACGCAAGCTAAACACTCAGATTTCTGATCAGGGAACTCAGAATGCTAAATATTTTGTCAGTGTTTTGGACCAACAGGACATTGTTTGGAACTTGTTAAATGAAATCATATCTCGCCAAAAAGCGAATGCAAATTAAGTTTGAAGCTAAAAGTCTGCCCTTTGAAACCTTCTGGTGAGAGTACATCACAACCAAATGTCTATTTTTGTTTCAACAGAGCACAAATATCCCTAAACCCACTCGCAGTCTGTAAGCAATAAACCAACCTTCCAGTCAGTCTGTACTCGAATCCTAAGCTCATAAAGAGCCAACTTGAAGAAAATATTGAGACATTATGATATTATACATCGTGCAATTCGTAGTGTCTAAAAAAAATACTAAAAACTATTGGACAGGCTTGACTGTGAGACTGATTTCTGTGCATATATCCGGTAACTGGTATTAAAACTAAACCTGCACAGAGGGAATACTCAAACCGATTCAGACAGAAAACTCAATAGCTAAACCTTGATCTCAATACAGCCACAGACTGTTATGCTTGCTTGTTTTGTGAGAGATATGCAGCTAACTGCGAATCATCACACTTTAGCCAAATCCCTAAATAAATATTCTTGATCTAGTGTAAATTGAGAAGAACTATGTCAAAACAAACCATTGAATGGTTATCAAACAGCATTTATCCCTGTATATATCAAATGATATATGCGATAAGCTAAGGACAAAATCGCCATGTTATGGCGATTACCTTATCATTTCATTATTTGTCCCTTGGATTTCTAGTGGAACATAGAGCTTCAGTAGCACATCCTCATTCCACTCTCTTCGCTGAAATCTTTTAAACCTGGCTCCACGACAGCCCACAAGCTCTCATTTCTTCCTCATACCATCTCCTCCATGTCACCCTCGTCTCAGACGCCCAACTCGTCATTCCCACCTGGGTTCCACTCGAGTGCCTGGCTCGTGATGTCCCCGAAAGGTCTTCTCTGTACATGCCCAATCCATCTCCACTTCCTTCCAATGCATATTTGTTCAGCGACAGGTTCGGGGTTGGTTCGTTCCCACAGTTCCTTGTTGCTTATTCTTTCTCACCTTCTCATCTGATCTTCAGTAATGAGCCAGTGTAGGCAGTTGTTGATGAATGTCTGTAGTTTGTTGGAAATGCTTTTCGTGACGCGCCAAGTCTCTCAACCATACAGGAGCACTGACTTGACATTGGTGTTGAAAATCCGCATCTTGTTCCACATGTTGAGTGCAGAAGGTCTCCACACTGGTTTCAGGTTAATGAACGCCTGTCTTGCTTTTACAATCCTGCCTTTGACGTCCTCGTCTGTGCCACCTATAATTGAAACGGTACTGACCAGGTGAATAGGTGAAAGAGGCTACTTCCTTGAAGTTTCTCCCGTTCATGGTGATTGGAGCTTCTTGTTGCTGGTGGTGATGTTGGGTGGGTATCTTCATCACCCCTGTCTTCTCTACGTTCACCTGAAGTCCCATCTTGGCTGCTCTGCCCTGCCTCTTCTGTCAACTTGTTGGTTTCCGCCTGTAGATCTTCAGGTTTGTGCGATATTTGACACAAGTCATCGGCGTAATCCAAATCTTCTAGGTTCTTTTCCCCGGGTCCAGCGTATCACCCTCTTCTCGCTCCCCACTGTTTTTTACATTATCCAGTCGACCACAATCAGGAATATCATGGGTGATACCAAACAGCTTTGTTTCACTCCTGTCTTCACTTCAAAAGCAGCACTGAGCTTGATATTGTGAATGGCTTGGCATGTGGAGTCTCTATATAGTTGTTGAATGAGACTGATAAGAGTTTGTGGTATTCCGTAGTGTCAAATCGCAGGCAAGTTACTTCTCGGTCGACGCTGTCGACAACTTTTTCAAAATCGATGAAGTTGAGGTACAGAGTTGACTGGCATTCTATGCTCTGTTCTATGATGATACGTAGCGCAGGGTAGCGTAGCAATTTGATGCGCACATTATTTGTTCTTCCTGAAGCCAGCCAGCCAATTCCGGTCGTAGTTTTGAATCCAGAGCATTGTTTAGCCTCTCCAGGATGATCCGGCCCAATATTTTGCTTGGGGTGGACAGGGGTGTAGCATGATTCCACGCCAGTTCCTGCAAAGGCTTAGGTCGTCCTTCTTCGGCAGTTTGACAAGGTAGCCCTTCTTCCGATCAATAGGCAGGTACCTTTCCTTCCTTCCAAACCTTCTGCAGTAGGGGTGACAGCATGTCCGTTGTTGATGTCTCTGCGTTTGTTTTCAGTGCTTCTAGAGGAATTCCATCTGGTCCTGCTGCTTTCCCGCATTTCAGTAGCTTTATGGCGCTCACGACTTCACTTCGGCTCTTGTCAGAGCGCTTGTGTTTACTTGTAGTTCTGTGACTGACTGGGCTGCAGGTGGTATTTCTGGACGAGTTGCAGGTGGCGATGGTCGATTCAAGAGTTTTCTGAAGTGGTCAACCCATCGTTTCCTTTATTTCTCCTCTTTGGTAGCTAGGTTTCCTTCACTATCTTTCATTGGTTTCATTTGCGTTGATCTCTACCCTCCCAGACAGTAACCTGGTCATTCAATACAGTGTTGTCAGGTCCCCGTCTCTCCTACCTGCAGCCTGTTCTGCTTCACTTGCCAATGTCTCGTAGAACTGCCTTTTGTCTTTCCACATACTCCTCTTCACTTCTTTGTCCAGTGTAGTGTTTTATAGGTTGGGTTCAGTTCCTCTTTTCCTTGTTCATCCCTGCACTGCACTGGTTCATCTTCTGCCTCACCATCACCATCCTCTTCTCCCTGTTCAATCAGCTTCCAAGTGTCCGTCGAGATCCATTCCTTATCTTCTTTCTTCTTTCTCTGATTCCAGCGAGGAACAAAATTGTTTTTATTTTGATGGAACTTTGAAGTTTCTTCAGCGATTGGATTGGTTTCACGGGGTAGGGTTCCTAGCCCTACGCCCAACCTTCCCTCTTGAACCGGGCTTAGGACCAGCTAGTAACTAGTGAACTAGTTAACCAGGACATTATATAGTAATCTCAAAGTATTTGCAACCTTATCTTCTTCAAAAGGATTACATACTGATCGATAAGAATCCCATAAACAATACATAATAGCAAAACCTCAGCATGCCGAGATATATAACTGATGGGCCTTCGATAGATGTACCACGAAAGAGAATTACCAGGAAGCCAGAATATATGAAATCAGTGTAAGAATCTTGAGAGTAATCGAAATATGAAGCATGGTACCGGTTTGTGGAGAAAGTCCCATAATGGCAATTATCGTAAGTGAATAAGTGTATCAACAAAGCGCATGTTTAGCACATATTATCGACATCACAAATGAGTTCAAAAAATAATAGAGAATGTAACACACTAGTAAGTACCACACAATATCCTAAGACTGGAATTTCTGATATAACAATTTACTGGAAAAAAAGGGAATTGATATGGATATTCCTCCAGTTGAGCAAAATATAATCAAAAATGAACATAATGAACAAAGAAAAACTCATTTTAGTCTGTTTAACATAATTATCTGAGTAAAAATATACGGATAAAGATTGCCATTTTATATCTAAAAGACAACTAACCTTCCTCTGGCAATGATTTCTTTAACCTTCTTGAAGGTGTACTTGCGATAATGTCAGGTTCAACTGAGATCGGTAAATTAGGGGTCCACAGAAATACCTTAAATAAAAAATGTATAGAGTATGGCAGATGCGAATTAGTATAACATGGGAAGATGAGAAAGATAAATAAATTTATTGACGAAGATGTATAAAGTACAAATCAATAATGACAGTTATCATCATAAAAAACATTTTAAAATGCTAAAGGGTCAAATGCCATCGGTAGGGGACCCTGGACTTCTTTTTTGTGCTTAGTGACACTCATCTGCAAGGTGCATAAGAAACCGTGACGGAAATTATGTCCGCTCAAAAATCTTCACTACATTACCAGTTATGATTAATCTAGCTATTGTCGTTTTCAGTTTGTTTCAGTTTTCAGTTGTTGCTGTTTCACGTTCTGAAGTCAAACTTATGCTGTATATATTACACCAAAACAAAAAACCTGGACCACCGAACAAAAGCCGAACTAAACGGCATCAGTACGAGGTGTAACAAGTACTGTTTACTCTGTTAGTGCTTCTATCGCACTAGCAACTTTACCAACACAATTGCAACTGTGAATTTAGCAAACTCAACCAAATACACACGTTGTTTTTTGTAGTACTAAACCACAAAACATAACTTAGCATTCTTAGCCCTTTGGGTCGACTACATGAGTCAATGTTGCAACTCGCAATCCTTCTGTCCCTTTCCTTACCAACAAACAAGTTACATAAGCACAGCAAACGCGCTCAGATCTAGATGAGCAGGAATGTCATACAGTGAATATCTATTGCTCTAACCGAAGACTTTTACCAGTAGTACCGTACAAACTAAGACCTTTTTGCATATGATTGACGTAAACATACACACTCTCTTGAGTGTGACACACCTTTGAAAGCGCATGACTTAAAAAACACTGATATCATGGTAATCAAAGGAAATCAACCGGATGCCAGTGACAAATGTGTACAGGTAAGCCTTGTAAGCCCTGTAATCACTATAAACCAGAACTTGAATCTTTATTGATTTAACTAATACCAATAGCTTAGTATCAGATGTAAGTTATCTGAATTTATCAGGAAAATAAAACCACAGGTTTGATTGTATAGTCAACACGTTTTAGGACTGCGGACGAATGGAGACATTGCCATAAGAATGAAAATATGTACCCACAAATGTGCAGTTAGTGCAATATCAAATGCTAACCAAGGTTCCATCACCTATATTTGTCTAGAACTTTGAAAAGCTTACGAGTATCGCGACAAAATGATACTGTTTAATCAACATCATCATCAACATAGGACCAGGCATTACTGAGTAGCGGTCCGAGTTGCTACACCTCATATCAGTACATCACGTAAAAAGGCAGTGAAGTGGAAGATAAAGGAAAGAAAACTCAGTCAGAAGAAATACAAAGTACGAAAGGAGAGAAAGGAAGAATGAGAAAATGATGAGATTCGGTGTAGCGCCGTTAAGATGAGGATAATGTGTGTATACATCTGCGCCACTGACTTCGATTCTGAGCCATATAACCTAGAGTCTCCAACCACTGGTCCTCTTGTCCCGCGGACCCCTGCCGGCTAGTCTGCATCACCCCACGTAGCTCAAACCAACAGTCAAAGAGTTCATACATTCATGACATGTTTTAATCTGGCCTCAGATAACATGACTTGTCAGTGTTTCGTTAGCAGTTAGATACTTTGCAAGTAGCAGAACGGAGTGAGTTGAAGAATCTATAGTAAAGTTCTCTGCATAATAGATGAGATTTCAACATCAACCATCGCATTGAGACTGATGCGACTTATCAATTAGGTGAAATGGCCAACGTATTTCACCACTTAACTCCATATCCTTCAACTATGAATGGGTGCAAACCAGTCCTGAAGAATCATTTTCAACTCCACCATCTAGATCAAAGCACATGGTTAGTGTTACTTACTGGTAAACCTGTTCCCGAATTTGAGGGTAGATTTGATCAAAATCTTCTACATATGACCTATGGTACGAAGACAACGCAGGTGGAAGCTTTCTTATTTCCTCTACCATTTATAACAACTCTTACAGTTACACAGTAGAACAGATCAAACTGCATTGCAGTAAACCCGGCCTTAAATAACTAATCATATAACATTGCGGTACTATAAATAGTGTAAATTGACCAAAGCCAATTAGGCATATTGTATCCATGAAGAGATTTCGTCGGTCACTAACTCCTCACGGCCCATCCAACTTTTCAAATGAAGTGGTCAATGTGCTGGGTCACTTCACTTTCTTCCATAGACCAAGCACCCATGCCGCTCTACTAAGATAAAGCAGCAGCTATCGATTGTGAAGTTCTAAGGAGATTGTCGACTTTAAGGAGAAATGGAGGGTTGACATCTACTTCCCATTTCGATTCAGGCTGAAAAATGGTTTTAGGATAAATCACTTGTATTTCAAAGTGTTCCGCTCATTATTGCAGCTGCCTGTCTCGAGACGTTACCAGGGATTAAACCTCTTTGGTGATGGTCTCATTAACCATTGTCTTATTTCTCCTACTTCACCCAATAAGACCAAAACATGGCTCAACATTACTGAATGCTGAACACCTATTCCACTTTTCCCTCCCACCACTGCTGACAGCTATGGCATGGACCCTTCGTCAATTATCTTAACGCTTCTCTGGTTTATCACTGTAGTCGGAGAGAGCTGGAAGGCACTAAAGGGAATATATACACTGCAGAGCCCCACAGATTTTTTTTTAACCTTTTCGTAGAGAGCCAAAATGACCACAATGAGGAGCCAAGGAAACTCAAAATTAAAGTGAATAAGAGTCTTCACGTTGATCACGACCAGTGGCGGGTGACGAAAGGCAGGAAGATGAAAAGAAACCAGTGGAGTGCAACACTCGGCAACTACTAACGATTGCTGAAGAAACCGCGAAGAAGAAGACAATGGAGAGTAAGCCGAAAAGAATCGACGGTTGTGACCTTAGCCACCTAGAACGTTCAACAGAACACTTTTAAACACAATTCAAGCGGCCCATAGCGACATTTCAGTTCCCAACATCCAGCCAGCCCGAACCTGAATGGGACGTGGCTGACAGTCCTTCAACTCTCTTCAAAGTTGAGAAAGCTGTATGGCATCTGAAACGATGCAAAGCAAACAGGACATGATGGCTTGATAAATGCAGTTTTCAAGGATGGAGGTAGGAAATCGTTAATTAAAGTGACGGAGGTACTAGTTAGTGTGTGCGGATCAGAGGTAGTGTCGTCAAACTGGTGTACTTCACTGACCCTTCTAGTGTATGTGAAGGGAGAGAAGTCTTCATGCGACAACCATATGGGAATTAGTTTGATTAATATTGTGTCCAAGATCCTAGCGTTTATATTCATCCAACCCCTGTCTGGGGAATGAGAACAACAAACTCGATCGAACCAGACAGGTTTCAAACAGAGTTGGATAAGGGTGCATTGGTGATATATTTGCTCTACGACAATTTCTGGAGCACAGGCTGGCCTACCGGTCAGTGACCGACACTTGAAGTATTTCTTGACCTGAAAGCGGTATTTGACTCTGTTGTGACTGTATGACTGCGAAATGAGAACAGAGGAATAAAGTAACACTAATCAAAACTCTGTACTCGAATTCATGCAACTGTGTAAGGGCTTATGGAGAGTTGTTATGTGAATTGGCAACAACTAATGGTATCCACCAGGCATGCTCACTGTTACCGTTCCTATTCAACTTCGTCATCAACGTACTAATGAACACAACCTTAGGCACGTGTGACTCAATAGTGATTGGCGTACCCTGTGGAAGTCATCTGGTTGACGTGGAGTTTGCAGACAATATTATCCTGCTAGGTGAAGACGCTGACAAAATGGAGGGTCCTCTGGATGCGTTGAGCATAAATCTTAGTATCTTTGGGATGCCTTTCGCACCTGCGAGAAGTAAGATGGTGCGTCACGACTGGTCTTCATCCACTCCTATTTTAACGATAGGGAGTTGCATCAGCTCGAACGGAGGGGTTGTTGACGAAATCTCAGCCGGGATACAGAAGGTCCATTTATCATTTGTCATTTCCAACTGGCGAGATATTCGGCTACCCATTAAATGACGAGTCCAAAGCGCTCCAGTCAACTCTGTCCTGTTGTACAACTGTAAGACATAGCCAATGGAAGTAGAAGACACGAGGCGACTACTGGGTTCTGATCACATGTCTTTATAGCATTGCTCGTGTTTGGTGGTATCACCGTGTGAGCAATGTTGAAGGCAGCTGAAGGGTAATAGGCAAGACAGGCAAGTCGATTGATGAGGTTGTGAACCTTGATCGACTGAGATGACTTGGACATGTACTGCGCATGCCCAGCCAGCGTCCACGTCGACGTGCCATGCTAGGGAAGATGGATTAGGTTGGAAGAGGGTTTAGGGTGGCCAGACGAAGACCTGTCACCAGTCGTCTCTTATTGTTGTCCTGAATAGTGTAGGGTGATGTATTCTGCCTGGTTGGGATCTACGAGACGAAAGAAATCAGTGGTTGACGACTTTTGGTGACATGGTTGAAGATCTCTTAAAATAGCTGAGATGTATTCACTCTTTGACATCTTCTAAAGCTTGAATATTCTCACTAACCTTTATCTTCAAATTGTTTATTCTACCATACTAACTTCCTTGATATCAATCTTTTTCTATTCACCAGTATTTTGTGTACTACTGTGAAGTGTGGCAACTTGAGCTGATGCACCTGTGTGTGACGTTCGATATTGATTTTGTCTGTCTGTTTCCCTAGGAAGCATTTAAAAGTGGGAATCTACGAAACCGCCTGCAACGGTAGGGAGAGATCTCTGGACAAGGTATCACACTGACCGAAAAGTCAGAAAATCCTGATAGATTTTACTAGTCATTTACTGCGTTACCGATTTATAGTGAATCAACTCATATACTCCATAAAATCATTCGACTTTTTAAGACTTATAAATTAACCTGGGAAGATTAACTATTTTCTAAAGAATGATGGTTGATCATCATGCAGAAACTACATCAAAGATAATGAAGTCGAAGAGACACTAAGAATTTCAAAAAGTCAACAATGATTTTCCGCCATTTCATGGAGATGTCAAGGCAGGTGGAAGGGGGATATTGAGAACACAGAGTTTTTCAATAAGTGACAATTAATGACACAAAGTGCTCTGAAATACAGCTTTGCGAAACAATCGTTTACACCAGTAGATTGCTGACAAAAACATATGTAACAGCTGATTCACATTCTTTTAGACATGAGAAAACAGTTGAATAACCGCCGCACACGCATAGTTCAAACGCAAAACGATTGAACAAAGCTGAAAGTCTTTTGACACACGTTCCTTCATCTACATCGCTGGCAAAAGGGGACAGTCTTGGACAAGTGAAACTTAGGGTTATTGGGATTGTTAGTGATACTGATGAAGCCGAAGATATTTTCACTGGTAGAAAAAGCTTGCGAATAACAAAAAGGATTAAAACCAGCACTGTGAATTATCAGAAAGTGTTCAAGATAAGAATTACTTATCACAAATTGCTTTATTAGAATGGAAATATTTGACAAAAATGGGCATAGGAAGTCATTGAATACTTACGCGATATATGCTTAGAACAGATTTCATTAATTGAAACTCTGTTTTTTCATTGACCTGTTTGTTGATGCCACACCTTTCAGACAATTCAATATTTTCTTTATTCTCTTCAAGACACTGATTATTAATTATATTAGTAGTACTGTTTGGTATGCACTCCACTGGTTCAGGTAACCATAAAGGCCCTATCAACAGCGGCTTTAAACGTTGAAGTCCACGACGATGAGCAGCCTCGTATTCAGCAACAGATAACTGTTGGCGCAATTGTTTCATTTCATCCGGAATTGGACCTTCGCCTTCTTCAGCTGCGACACCCTCATCATCAGATAAGTAACCATGTGGGACAAGGAAATTATCATCATCGTCTTCATCATCATCTTCCTCTTTTTCCTCCTCCTCTTCTTCTTCTTCATTCTAGTAAAAGCAATAAACGTGTTGAATAATCAAAGTGCATATCAACTAGAAACTGATATTATGTGCAAAGGAGATATGTGAAAGCTTACTCAACCAAACAATACTGTACACAACTGGTACTACGATTTCAACAAACAGGCCATCAAAAGAAATCAATTTAGTCTGTTCTTCCAAGCATCAATTAGGGAAGTAACATAGCTAAGGCTTTCACAAATGAATTCAACCGATTTCATCATACAAATTCAAAAAGCATGTACAAAAAATTGGAAATAGAGCCAGTCAAACAAAGTAATAAAGGGCGATAGTGCGTTTGAGAGAGTATTATGAGAAATAAAGTGTCATATATACACTACCTTGGTAATGAAAATATTTAATTATATCAGAAATTGGTATAAGTCTATCTCAAAACTATTAAAATCCAATCTGGAGTTTAATGTCACACAAAGATACGAAAATCTGGAAACCAAATGCTTCATAACACCGTGATTTATGCCTCCCAGTGGCAAATAAAAAACTCAAGGGCTGAAAAGAAAGAATGGTCATCAAACAAACTTTAATGAGCGCCTAACTTAAGGTAAGCAGTTCAAAGTAGATGGTGTAACCATGAGAATGAACTCTTGGCAAGACGTCCATCGAACTGAATTTGTAGTTATGTTCCCCACTCGAACCTTAACATGAACTAGACTTTTCTCCACTTTCAGTCGCGACATATATATATATATATATATATATATATATATATATATATATATATATATATATATATATATATATTGCCATGTTCATTAGCCATAAAATTTGCTCAAAGCAAACCTTGACAACAGGGAATCGATAACTTACATCTGACTGTGTAATACTCTCACCAGGTTCCTCCTCTTCCCATTCATCATCTGAATCTGCTGAGTAATCAAGCTGATAATCATCCCGAGCGAAAGGTCTACGACCTGTAACAATACGACTACGACGCCGCCATGTTCCATAATAAGCTGGTCGGTAATTTTCTGTAAATTGAAATAATTTAGCACGAAGCCATACAGTTCCACCACCACCACGATTTCCATGCTGTTTTAAAGCGGCAGAGTTTATAGGCAGATACATATTATCTCCAAGATAATGAACATTGGGTGGTTCGCTGAAGTGTAAAATATAACGCCATAACCATGAGGTAAAAAAAAAATATTGATAATTAACAGCGCATCATCAGAAAGAAAGAAACTTGCAGATTGATGTACACACAAAACATAAAATTTCTTTCTTTCTCACAGTCATGTACAATTATTATTATTATTTGTCTCTTCGGTTCCAAGTGGAACATAAGGCTTCAGTAGCACGTTTCCATTTCACTCTATTCTCTACAGTCTTTTTAACCTGGCCCCACCACTGCCCACAAGCTTTCTTTTCTTCCTCACACCATCTCCTCCATGTCACCCTCGGACATCCAACTCGTCGTTCCCGCTCGACGGCCTGGAGCGTACTGTCCCCAATCGGTCTTCTCAGTGTATGCCCAATCCATCTCCACTTGTTGGGCGATGGATTCTTGGTTGGTTCGTCATCAGCCAGAGTTTCTTGTTGCTTATTCTTATTATTCTGGCGATCTGGTCTTCAGTATCGAGCGAGCGTAGGCAGCTGTTGATGAATATCTGTAGTTTGTTGGAAATGCATTTCGTGACGCGCCAAGTCTCTCAACCATCACATAGAACCACTGACTTGATATTAGTGTTGAAAATCCACATCTTATTCTTTATGGTGAGTGTAGTGCAGTAGATCTCCACACCGATTTCAGGTTAACAAAGGCCTGTCTTGCTTTTCCCATCCTGGCTTCGACGCCCTCATCTGTGTACCTACCTGTACTTGAAAAGATGCTGCCTAGGCAGATAGGTAACAGATACTACTCCCTATAGATTTCTCACGTTGATGGTGATTGGTGCTTATTATTATTGTTGTTGTTGGTTGGGTATCTTCATCACCCCTGTCTTCTCTACGTTCACCTGAAGTCCCGTCTCCTCTGCCTCTTCTGTCAATATGTTGGTTTTCGCCTGTAAATCTCCGAGTTTGTGAGACACTGGACATAAATCATCGGCGAAGTTCAAATCTTCTACGGTATTTTCCCCGATACAGCGTATGCCCCTTTCCTCGCTCCTCATGGTTTGTTGCATGATCATGATCCAGTCGACCACAATCAAAATGATCGGTGATACTACGCACTCTTATCTTACTCCCGTCTTCACTTCAAAGGCGTCACTGAGCTTTCCATTCTGAATCACTTGGCATGTAGCATCCTCGTATAGCATACAGCTGTTGAATCAGGTTGATAAAGGTTTGTGGTATTCCGTAGTGTTAAATCGGCAGGCAAGTTACTTCTCGGTCGACGCTGTCGACAACTTTTTCAAAATCGATGAAGTTGAGGTACAGAGTTGACTGGCATTCTATGCTCTGTTCTATGATGATACGTAGCGCAGGGTAGCGTAGCAATTTGATGCGCACATTATTTGTTCTTCCTGAAGCCAGCCAGCCAATTCCGGTCGTAGTTTTGAATCCAGAGCATTGTTTAGCCTCTCCAGGATGATCCGGCCCAATATTTTGCTTGGGGTGGACAGGGGTGTAGCATGATTCCACGCCAGTTCCTGCAAAGGCTTAGGTCGTCCTTCTTCGGCAGTTTGACAAGGTAGCCCTTCTTCCGATCAATAGGCAGGTACCTTTCCTTCCTTCCAAACCTTCTGCAGTAGGGGTGACAGCATGTCCGTTGTTGATGTCTCTGCGTTTGTTTTCAGTGCTTCTAGAGGAATTCCATCTGGTCCTGCTGCTTTCCCGCATTTCAGTAGCTTTATGGCGCTCACGACTTCACTTCGGCTCTTGTCAGAGCGCTTGTGTTTACTTGTAGTTCTGTGACTGACTGGGCTGCAGGTGGTATTTCTGGACGAGTTGCAGGTGGCGATGGTCGATTCAAGAGTTTTCTGAAGTGGTCAACCCATCGTTTCCTTTATTTCTCCTCTTTGGTAGCTAGGTTTCCTTCACTATCTTTCATTGGTTTCATTTGCGTTGATCTCTACCCTCCCAGACAGTAACCTGGTCATTCAATACAGTGTTGTCAGGTCCCCGTCTCTCCTACCTGCAGCCTGTTCTGCTTCACTTGCCAATGTCTCGTAGAACTGCCTTTTGTCTTTCCACATACTCCTCTTCACTTCTTTGTCCAGTGTAGTGTTTTATAGGTTGGGTTCAGTTCCTCTTTTCCTTGTTCATCCCTGCACTGCACTGGTTCACCTTCTGCCTCACCATCACCATCCTCCTCTCCCCGCTCAATCAGCTTCCAAGTGTCCGTCGAGATCCATTCCTTATCTTCTTTCTTCTTCCTTTCTAATACGGTTATGCAGGCTTCTTTCAACATCCCTTTCAAAGACTTCCAGTGTTCATCCACACAGGTTTCTTCAGGGATGTTCCTCGATATCTTTCATTTTGTCTTGATGGCTGACGTGAAGATGTCCTTTGTAGTTTAGTCCTTCAGTTTCTGTTCTAGGTGGGTGTTGAACTTCAACTGTGGTCTATCGCCAACTTCCTTGAAGGCCTTTAACTTGATTTGGAAGGTAGGTTGTTTGCACTGGATAGATAGTGAGTGGTGTCAACCTAAATCTGCTTCCCTTCGTCATCTGATCTTGTATCCAGTAGGCTGCGTCTCCACTTTCTTCACATTGCGATGAGGCCAATCTGATTTTTAGTGTGTCCATCTGGTGAAATCAAGTCCATGTCATTGCCCTGTGAATATTCTTGTGTTTGTACACACTGCCTCCAATCACCAAATCATTAAATGCACAGAAATCTTCAAAGAGTTTCCCATTCTCATTCATCTCACCGAGTGCTTCTTGCCTTGTGACGAGTTCTCTTCCTGCGTTGTTTACTCCCAGTTGTTTAGTCATGCTACCTATTGGAATTTCAATCCCGGCAACTGGAGTCTTGTCCTATACTGATTGCAGTTGTCTGTAGAATTCCTCCTCCTTCTCTTCACCTACATTATTTATAGGTGCGTAGCGTAGCATTGAATGATTGTGACTTTCCTACCTCTTGATTTGAATCTTGCTGTCATGATCCTGATCGTTGAGGATATTGGTTCCCACTGCATGAGATCCTTCGATGCCCTCAGGGACATCATGATAACCACTGGAAAACTCAGTGTGCTCGTGGTTGTCGTCTGGGTGACAATATAGGAGTAGATTATTGACTCCTCTCCAGTTGACAGTTGTGAGAGTTCACTCCCTTTCCATCTGCTTTCGCAGATTCCTAGCACCTCTATCCCATACCTTCTCATCTCTTTTGCAATCTGGGCAGCCTTGCCAGCCAGCTTCAAACATTGTGCGGACATTCCATGTCCCTGTGATTACTTTTGTTTTCATCGAGAGAGAGAGAGAGAGGGAGAGAGTGGGAAGACACATCGACCAATTGGCTTCCCGAAGACTTTAACCAACCGGCATCATTTCGCCTCTCCGATTCCAGCGAGGAACAAGTTTGTTTTTATTTTTTATATTTTGTTAGTACTTCGAAGTTTCTGTAGCGATTGGATTGGTTTTCCGGGGTAGGGTTCCTGGCCCTATGCCCAACCTTCTCTCTTTATCCGGCCTTAGGACCGGCTAATAACTAGTGAACTAGTTACAATGCTAAATGATGTGGTTACCACGAGGTTATTAATTAAGAAACAGCTATGTAGCGTTGCCGATTTTGTGGCAGTTCATTCATCAACTCGTGATGAAAAGTGTGTTTGAGCAAATACAGGTTTGTATCAAAATGCACGCGTGCCATGATGTTAGGCGTATCAGAAGCTTATACTGAGTGATGGAACATCCATTAGGGTTGAAAACAAGTATTCTCGAGAAATTGTCGAACTTAATAGGTTAAGAATACTTTACCACGACACATGCAAAGAAAGGTACTTCTGCTACAAGTTACATGGAAGTGGAATGCTAACGACTGGGTCACGTTCAAAAAGGAACACAGACAAGATTCCCTAATGCTTAAAAACCGTAGTAACATTGATTACCACACTTACATTGGCCAGGTACTTGGATAGGATAACGGCATTATTTGTCCTGTTCGGAGTTCGTGAAGATAGTTGGCCCGTCCGAATTTGAGCAAACCAAGTGACGATCCTGTATCTCTGTTAGATCCCTCTATCCAGGCACTTCTTAAGTTGTCGATATTGTTCCTCTTCTGATACAACAAACTCTGCGACATTCTGTGAAGAGGAGCCATTTTCATATCTTTTCGGACTTCAAATTTTATAAAAGGTCCACAGTCTGAACCAGAGACCATACTGGTTTCCTACAACCAATGAATCAATAAAAGAAAATCAAACCTTCTTGTTTTCTGACTTGACGAGGAATCCCAATAAGACTGCTCGCTGCTTTTCTTCTCTTTGAATTTTCAACTCTTCTTCCTTTTTCCTTTCCTGTTCTTTTTGCAATCTCTCCTCTTCCTTTTTGCGTTTCTCCTCCCTAAGAGTATAATTAAGCACATACGAACAAAATACAAAAAAGAGATTTTGGGCACTCTGAAACTTACTCTTTCTTTTTACGTTCACATTCCCTTTCCTCCTCTTTTTTACGCTGTTCCTCCCTCCGCTTTAAACGTTTCTCCTCCTTTTCACGTTCTTCAGCATCCTTTTTCTCTTGTCTTTGTCGTTGCTGCTTCTCCTAACCAACAATATGTATGAAAAAAATGTGGAAAAAACCTTCTCCAAGATCTTTTTCTTCCTTTCTAGTTCTCTTTGATGCTCCTTCGCTAAACGCGAACGTTCACGTTCGGCACGTTTATGTGCCTTCTGATAATCAGTAACAATCCTTTTAGAGGAATTAGGTTTCTGAAAGAAAACACATACATGTTTAGGTCACAGGTCAACAGAAAAAATCTACGAAAAAAATATTCCATAAAGAACTCGCAAGACATCCCACTTATTCGTGTATACCAATACTGTAGAAGAGTGCTTACCTTACACACAATATTCAAAATTACTTAGAAAACTATTTCGTTAAAACGATGCAGCACCACAAAATATTAAAACTCATCACACACGTTCGAGCTAAATATCTTGACAAACTGAATCTCAGTGACAGTCAGCCAGTTTATGTGGAAGTGAAACTTGATGTTGCTACGTAACCATCAAATGTACCACACCTCAAACCGGCATAGCAAGATACAAGGCAGCAAGATGAACGATAGAGAAACATAAAAATTGCCTGCGATAGTCTGAGAGTCATAAGAATCCAACATATAGCAAAGGAAACAACAAAGTGAGAGAAAACAGTTAGGATAAAGATAATTAGTTGGTATGTTTGTCCCACATACACCGACTTCACTGACTGATGCCGCGTTTCAGTCTGACCATCCTCAAACTTCTTCCAACCCAATCCTGCTTCAGCAAATAATACATGCTGGAGTAGAAGGTGAATGCGCTTGTGTGATACATGTCTCAGCCGATGGAGTTTCACAACCTCATTAATTGAATTACCTCTTGTATCTAAGACTCTACAACTAGCTTGTACATTACTGATTTCGTGTCCCAAAAACAAGCGGCTAGAGCTTCCAGGATTATGATTGTCAAACTTCTAAAGCCCTCATGTTGGTCCCCACGTTTCATTACTATGTGGAAGTAAAAAACGAACTGCTGTTCAGAACACTCCAGCCTTAGTGGATCATCAGATACACCACAGACGCCATAGGTGGCGTAGGTTAGCAAAAGCCAACCAATCCTTTTTTATCCGTGTCGGGATTTCATCTATCACCAATCTATCAGATCTGATTCAACTTCCCACATCAATGAAAAGACCAGTCTTCCCAACTACTTCATTTCCTACTGTCACAGGAAATATCAATGCAGACAAGTCCTAAAGCATCCATTTATTTTCGGAAGAGGTTGGTGAGATATACACCCCAAACATCCTCAAATCTCTCCTCAATCTGTTCAAAAGACTCGAAAGTTTGTCAATATCTTAACCTGGAAGTGCTCTAATCTAGGTCCTGTGACAAAGTCAGTTCCTGTAGAGCAAGACAATGAAGAGGGGCATACCTCCATAAGCACATCTGAGATGTATTTGAGTGAAAATGGGGAGTGGATATCCATGACGGACACCAACCAGTGTAAACAAACTATCTCAAAGCTGACTATAGGCTCCAACACAACCATGAGTGTTCAAGTGTCGAACCTTCGGAAGTTGAGCATACCTTCCAACAAAAGTAAACGTGTTGGGACCCAAGTGCATACCGAAAGATAGTTAAGCATTTCGTATACTGCAGTTGGACCATGCGATGACATACAGGCTATTCTAAATCTGGATAAATTGGTTGCCACAAAATGTTTGCGTGCGCTATGTACTGATTACTGTCGTTGTTTGTACTTTAAAAGGTTAGTTAGCCTAAGTGTAAAGTTACGCTTGAAGTAGTCGAATCAGAAATGAAGAAGGCGTTTTCCTTGTATGAGCTACCTACGCATTCTGGTTCGCATAGAATGTATGAAGATCCTTGACATCTTTCTCATGACCGCGGAAGAAAATAACCATTGTTCATGTTCTGACACTCCCGAAAAACTAAAGTTTTCTAAAAGCCATAAACCTGTCAGGTGACCAACCACTTATGTAGCTTTAGAAATGTAATCTAGGCTTTTTCATGCTTTGTATGCCCCAATGAGTAATTTCTGGATGGTTCTCTTACCGTCAGCCGCTTCTCGGCTAGCTAAATGTACCCAGTTAGTTACTACTATGGTCAGAGTTCTCATCCATGTATCTCTACTTCTATAACTTTTCATGTGACAGCAGATCACTTCTGATTAGGTTGGAAGAAGGAACTACGTTTGGTTTTCGGCTAGAAGTTAGACGGTTTTCGATATAACTCATTTTTCATTTCATCCGAACTGCAGTCAATGAACGCATCAACAGATATTACAAAAAGATGACTGTGTTACAATATTTTAAGTTCTCGCTGAACGACTGAATCAAACAGTTCCTAGATGACTGTCAACCGAAATCCAGCAGGGAAGCATGCTTTCTGCCTTATGATAATATAGTATTCACTCTGCTTCAAACAATTCTCAGTACAATTTGGAATTCTCAGCATGATACACTGCAACAACGACAAAATATATTTACGTATATACTTCTTTACAATATTTCGAACTGTGTTATTATAAAAATTTAAGTAGTGTAAAGAGTATTAAAAACGAGAAAATTTTTCATTGTTAGTTGAATTATTGGAATGAGATTGTTAACTGTCACAAAGATATGTGAGTTCTGTTCTAACACCTTCTTCACATAATATGCGTGCTAGGTAAGATACAGTCGAATTTTCGTACTTGGCTGTACGAGCGTACTGTCTTATGTAGTTTCTTCTTGTCCTCCTTGAGGAGATACAGAAAGAGCTCCTATATCCACACCCGCGAAGCTACAAGAATTAGCCACGGGATTTGAAAAAAATTTGAAAGGTGGGCTTTGAAGATTCACCACATTGGTCGTGTGAATTTAGGTGAGTAAGCCTAATTTGGTCCTGTCTCGCAGGAACTCAAAGCTTTGGTCGGTAACACGTTGTTTAGTTTCTGAGACGGGTGAAGTTTCGGAAGACCAGGGCTACCACTTTGTGAACTCAAACTGTTATCAAAGACTGAAGTATTGGAAGAAAAGTGATAAAAGATTATCAGGTAACGATATGGAAGGTTAGTGGTGATCAGAAGGGATTTCAATACTGACGAAGGCATTAAGGTGGTTGACAATATTGAGTAATCTGAACTGCAGGTTCTTTCCAGAAGTAACTAGAAAAGGTGGGTTAATAAGTGGCAATAATAACCTGGATGTTTAACCACAAAGCCCAAGAGACATATATTCGAGGTCGGATATATGTCTTTTTGAAAGTTTTAGATTTAGACTTGAAGAAGCTATGTCTGGACTACAAAAACCAGCACCGCCTGCACGGAAAACAACAAGGCATAGAGTAGTAACTTTAGAGACCATTCTAACAACGATCGAAATAACCAATTAGGTTTTTTCATTTCGTCTGGAAAGGTAGATTTTCATAAAACAGAGAGGTTTAATCGGGTATTTCAGTTGTTGCTAGGGTAGCCTTTAAAGTCACTTGTATATGAGAGTGTATTACTGTTAGAAACAACCTATTCCAATCCTTACTTCTGATGAGGGGAGATAATATCAACAAGAAATGCTGCTCGTCTGAGGGAAACACTTTATATCTACTGTTTACGTCAATGTGAACACTAGGATATGCGTCCACCATACAAAATGATAAAGTGACATTAGGAAAGAAAATAAAATCAATAAAAATCAGGAATGGACGATTAAGGAAGCAGCTTTAAAGATACATCTGGAGAACCATTCTCTCTTTTAGTTTTACTTCTCAGCATAAGACGAAACAAGAAAACTGCAGCATTTTTGTCACTAGTTTCAGTTCTGAGCTAAGTCTGCTATCCTCCCAAGTCACTGAGTTGTATGACCTCGTAGACTCCATTCAAGTTGTGAAGTACTTGGAGCTGCTAGTCCAACACTATTCTTTATTCCACGACGACATACCATATATTTACGACCTCCCATTGGTGTCATGACAAGTGGACAGTGGACGGTATGACAGCCACCAGAACGACGTGCGTAACGAATGTCCGAACTGTCGAAGTCAGCGTTTTACGCACACTACCTCAGAATTACCTGCGTGGTGTTTTAATCAGATTTGAGAAGTCCTGTGTCGTCGGACATCCTAAGCTCGAAGGCCAGGTTTTGCAGATAGATCACAACTGCCCGCAGGGAAGGGTGTATCCAACGTCACACCACGTACAGTTAGGAGTACAACTTCGCCGTCGGAATTCCACCATAGGGTGAGCTATTTACAGTATGGCAGTAGTAGTAGCAGTCTAACCACTATTCAACAGATATTTCTAGTATGGTAAGACCTCAAGAAACAATTGTAAAACGTTGAAAAATAGGAAACTGACCACTGGCTAGTACGTGATGTTTACAATATGTCAATTCATACCTCTCAAAATATTTTATGTGATTGCAGAGGAATTGAACAAATGGATACTAATTTGGACTTAATGCTCCTTGAATCAGATACTTGAATTTAGTATTACTGTTCAAAACAACTTTAAAAACCCATACCTCATAACCAGGATGTTCACTGAACGAAGTACTTGTAAAAAGTCCCTCTACCATGAAAAGAAAATACCCACAACAGAATCTCAACATTAACTAACCTGACAGGAATTTTTTTGGCAAAATAAAACTACTGGACGATAGTTATCTATCCTGCATAACATGATCAAACCCAAAGGTTTACTAAGGAATAAGGGGACTGACTGGTCGACTTCTCAGCGTCATATCACGTACAGAATGGTTGGTTTGGGAAAATGAAGTCTAACCGTTTTTTAAAACGTCGCTTTTATATTTTCAAATGATCTAATTATAACAATGCTATCAAGATGTATAATATTCACACCTGCATCGCGTTACGAATAGACGTTTGTGCTGCACTTATGAATGACAAATAACCCTTAATTTTCGAATGAGGTCAATAATATATTGTAGCACATCTACCAACTATAAGTGTTTAATCACTAGGCTACGAGTCACATTGAGGAATCGTTACCTAGGTCAAAGGTGAGAAACTTCCCAAACGCGAAACACCTTGGTGAAAGTCGCATCTTCAAGCCAATGAGTCATGCCTCTAAATGTCACCTTATTACTTAAAAAAGTAGCTCCAAAGCCACCTGGACATACCAGAACTTGTTTACAGATTTTCTTTCCAGATGCGTCTACAGCGCAAGAATAATCAATTCTTCAGGACAACCAACGAAATCAAGGTACTGCAAAGACATTAAATACGAGACTTGAAATGCTGAAAGACTTATTGCAGTTTCACACAAGCTACGACCTCAACCTTCATTGAAAAAAATACTTGGGAAACCTAGGTGGGTTTATACCTATCGTTAATGTTGCTACGTCTTATTACACATGAGAACGAATTGCAAAAAAACGTTCACGTTGTTGCGACGACACTTATTTTGAAATGAAAAGCACGGAAGCCTAAGGGAAATAGGAATTAAAAATTAAAACTATCATCTCTGATTTGCGACAATAATCACAAATAGAAATCGGGAAAAATCAAAATGCAACTTGGCAACCATGTGCACATTCAAGCAGTGAGGAATGAACCATATATTGTCAGGTTTGTGACACTACCTGGCTCCTCAAACCCGTAACCCACTGGATGAAAGTCGAGTACCCACACCGACGAGCCGCAGCTCAATTTGAAAATAGAAAAGAAACATTCGGAAATAACGAGTTAGGAATTTTTTTCCTGAAACTCGAAACAGCCTTTAACTAAGTATGAATCACCAAAACAGTGAACCAATATAAATCGCACGCTTCAAGGTCTGATCTTTCGAATGAACCCTGATAATAAAAATGAAACATCCCGAAAGCCTGTACACTCGTTTTCGTTCACCAATACCACTATTCTCTCATCTACCTCATTTTCTTATTTAGCTGAGACACTGGTTTTACCCAAGTAGCTACAAACAACAACTAGCAATAAAGAACTTAAAAATTTATTGTAAACTCGACTCGAAGAAACCTTGACGTTTCTATTTGGTGCATCCTACATCCAACTAAGGATTGATTTTACTATCCACCAAGTGACCTCAACTAAATGCGCTCGATATATATTGCAATGTAGGAATCAACAAAATCGCCATCCTAAATGTCATAGTGTCTAACCCAACAACTTATGCCAAGACATTTTTTGAAGGAAGGTGCATGACTAGCAATAGTTGGCTGGATTACTCAAGGTGGTGTTGCAGAGTAGTAGCTCTCTAACACTAGAATGATGTCGTTACTATAACTATCTCCAAAAAGAGCCTATATAATGTGACTAATTAATGTAGTAGTCTTTCCAGTCATGTCCAAATTATCAGCTACTACAACAGTGCACACTTAAAAACCCATGGAGGAGTGCTAAATCAATGGGAGGTTGGGTCTCTCTCACGCCATGTTCGCTCAGCTAGATGATAATGGTTTGATTTTTTTCTCAGCTTTGATATTTTGTCGTGAAATATACGGAACGCTCCACGACTCTGTCATCCTTACACAGGGGTCATACTAGTCTCTCTATTAATCTAACTTGAGATGTGATGCTGAAGTGAGTACACAAAATCGTGACACGTTTCATATTTCTCATGACAAAATATCTAGGCTCAGAGAACACCAAACCACCATCATTCTCATTCTGAGCTACAAATCTTTTCTATCACTTAGCCAGGTGCTTGAATCCTCACCTTTCCCTACAATGCGGTTGTCCTAGACTGGCTAAACACCCCAATGTTAGGAAGAGGCTTGCCTGAGCTGATAAACATAATGAATATCCTTTACGAATACCTCGGTTGTGACGACATGTAACAAATTCCAGCATTCTAATCAGGCAGTGGAACGAAGTAAATTTGCCAGATTTGTCACCAAATCATAATCAATCACCAATAGCAATCTTAAGACAGCTCTGAAAGAAATACGTTGCATAGTTTTGTCACCTTATGAAAGAATATCTAATCTGAGATATGGTATCGTCTTTCGTTACAGCATACAGGTTACTCGAACTCTACTCAATCAGTTATTGGTCAGAGTTTATAAGTACAGTATGCAGTTTGCAACACTGAAATGCAAATTAAGGTTTCAAAACCTAAGAATATATCTCCTCGGTGATCTTTGGTAGTGAACATGTAGAGGTATTTGTTTAACTATGCAAGCTTCACCAACAGCTTTGTCTTCATATAGCGAAGGTCAGAGGGTCGTTTGTTAATCCTCACCACCCTCATTTCCACTGCAATAGGTTGACTTTAAACGATAAGAGTCGCAATCGTTTGATGTAAGCAACTCTGCTATGCACCTGCGACTAAAAAAACACAAGGACGTTGCACAAAGATCATATATTTCAGTTACGATTTTAGCTTCTCATAAGGTACGACCAAATGTTGTGTGAACTATGTTTCATACCGGTTGTTTAGATATGTGGTCAACTAAAATGAGGGTGACGGCTAACAACAAACAATTAATTCTTGTTACTGTTCACATCATAATGGGATTTAAACGACTGACGGAGGCATGGACCCTTGCGACAAGCGAAAAGTTCACTTACCAACAGGTTCTTTTAGTCAGAAATGAATCAAGAAGAAGCGCATGATGGAAGCATACTCCTAGTTTCACGCCGATGACCTGACAACAGTGATCTTCAGCTTTGTTGTGCCAGTCACCTTTTTTGTACTCATCACTAAAAGAATCTGATATGGTAACCCCTGACATAAGACCAAGGGCGGATGTTAAAAGTTTTTAATGTTACTAGCCAATGTCAGGCAGAATAAGTCAAAAGTAACTAACTTTCCAAGCTACCTTCTGTTGTGTCAGTTTAAGAAACTGGAATTGGAAACCTAAAACATACAGTCACAAGTAATATTCTCTAGCAGAAAGCGAGGAATGAGCAAATTCCTTTCTCCAAAGTGGAAAGCAATTCAAGTCCCCCTTACCAACCACGAAAGGGAACTCATATTCTCACATGTCTATGACGAAATCATGTTAGAGTGACGGCCTAAAAGGAATCAGCAAACCTAATAACGTGTAGAAGTATGCATGCAACATAAGTTAGGTCCACAGGTAAGACTTACGTATGGGAGATGTTTCTGTACAACCATAAGTTACAGAATACATCATCTCCAGAAAAATCAACTCATGACTTTCACATTTAACTACATCTACGCTTTCTGAAGACAAAACGTCAATGGATAAATTGATCCGTATGACATTTGAAATACTTAAAAAACTGCACAAAATGTAGGCAGAGCCAAGACTGCGGGTACTCGAAAGACGTGTCCAAAACTATTTGCGAATTACCACTGCCTTGGAACCGATATACCTCAGGATTTTCGCAGAAACCTACTTGAAATTAGCAACACAATCCCACAGCAAAAAGTAATTATCAACAACCAGGAAACCATTTCGTGTGCTGCATTCATTATGATGAAATGAACTTAAATATATGACAAACCCTAAACTGGTCAAATCACTGTGGGTTTGGACTTAAAAAATCTAACCCTAAAAAGCGGCGTAGCTTATTGAAAGTCAAACTATGAGGAACGACAAATTACGATAGTTATCAATGATTTATTTAAAGTTCGCAGCAATGCAATCACAAAACAATCAGTAAGCTTAATAAACCCTAACAATATGTGCTGATATTGATGGATACATGAGATATTATTGACCAGAACGTGAAAAATGATGGCTGCAACTCACAGACTTAACCTCATCCATAATTATAAAAAACTGCGAACCTCCCGCTAACAACAGGCTTGCTAACTGCCAGTAGACACAAACAAATAACACAACAGCCGAGACTTTGCATATTTATAAGTGCTTCCACTCATGCGGATTATCTATGGGAAAGGCCATTTCCCTCATATCAGTTAGAAATAACTTTGCTTTCATTGGCAACTTCGAACTTTTTCGTCCGAATAGCGAACTATGGTTCTTTAAGTCCTTCATCTATGATAATGGAATACACTCCATATTTGAAACGTTCACAGTACTCTTCTCACTTCCGGAAAACGTGGTAAACAGATGTAATCAGTTGTCAGTCTGTAAGATTATGGGAAACTTCTTTAATACAGTCAGTCTGTACCTCAGGAATCTAAATGGATATCTAACTTGCTTTTAAAAGCAGTGAGAAAAGGGGCCCCAATAACCAAAAGAAGGCAGTTGTGCTAATTACATGTCATAGATGGATAAAGAATAGGAATATATCTTCCAAAATGCTTTCTTAAGTTCTACTTTAAAGGGGTGAACTCTGAGGTGGGTTTGAAGTGTTTGGGATTTTATAAATAGTATGATGCAGCATAGCTAAGGCTTCTGCGATCCTCCCGCATCATAACATCAGCAGAGTAGGAGGGACTAGGTGATTCAGGCAATACTTGTAAAGTAGCCAAGTCCCTATTCCGCAGCTCTTTCGTGAAGAATATCTTTATTCAAGTATAACCAATTTTCTGCATGCGAACCACTACACAGTCCATAAAATGCAGTGAACGGCCCCGCAGTTATGAGCAGAGGCTTCAAATGAAGTTTAGAACAACCCTTAGGTTTCAGTGTCTAAGTTAGAGATGCTTTTTCCCCACTGGAGTAAGGACTAGAATTACACCTACATTTGTCTGATGCCATTATCCCGATTTCATGTCTCGAGAGGGCGCAGGTTTTCGCCTTTTGAATTTAGGATATTAGAAGACGGATATTCAATAACACTTATCTTTTTCTTCCAAATCTTCAGATCAGCATATAACAGTGGATGTGAATCTGAGGCTCCTGGTGAACCATCCATAAATGCAAAAAAAGACAATGAACCGAGAAGAGCCCCGTTATACCAGTGCTAGGAAGCAATTAAACAAGTGAAGGTTGAATCTTATCCACTATAGCCCAGCTGTTAAGTTGTCCCAAGATGAACTCAGTAATTTTCTATGTACACCTATTAGCTGAGATTCCTTAGGCAGTTAACCATGATTAGCTTCATCAAACACAATAAAGAAGTCAGACAACCCGGTATGGCCAGGCTTTGATCGCTCATCGAATAGAATTCAACTATTCAGTGCCACCAACAAGTCAGTTTTACATGACCTATCAGGTAAAATACCCTACCGATAGTTGGCTAGGATTAAGTTCCTGAGTAAACAATCATGAATTGAATCGTTCCCTATCCAGTACATGACGTGAGCACCGGAGAGAATAGAGAGATTCGTCTTTGTTTACAGGTGATTAGTTTGTTTTGACCAATACGTATTAGGGAGATTGCAACTAGTTTTCAACCAGACGACAACCTCACCTCAAGAAACGAATGTCCCGTGAGATTAGGCGTGACACCTAGAGAATAGGCGAACCCTTAGAGGGTTTTTCGGTGGATACCGCCAATAGCTGGATCTATTAGGATTTGGACTCCTTATGATTTCCTTGATTTTAAAAAGCCCAAACTTTACACAGCTTAGCCTCTTGGAAATTCCTGTGTAGGGCTGTTACTCTAAAACTTCTAATTGGCATTCATTAGGAGCTGACATCGGTTAAAGAACCACTGAAGACCCAGGAAAACTGAAAGGTTGGAGATAGATCTCCGGGGTATCATTAATGTATGGTGTTGCGGAGTCTGTGCGGACTGCATAAAATTGTATATAAACCACTTCGACTAAAGGCAATATTTCCTTTTCATCGTTTTTTTACACACTCTGTACATTCTTCCTAATACTCGTAAAAAAGAATGTTGTTTATGTAAACACGCACGTTTTGGTTGTGGCAGTAGTTACGGCTTTGGCTACTGCTAATCGTGGAAATATAATGTGCTTCTGACCATTCTGGCTTCTGGCTCCGCTACTATTGCCTGTCGTGCATAATAACTGATTGTCTTGGGATTTTACAGGACCTCTCATCCTACTTCCAAATATTAAGACAATCAAGCCGACCAGTGACTACTGCGGAGAGCCAACAAATATCGCCTTCTGATCTTTAAAGTATCCAAAAATTGTGATGGACAATGCCGAAGAGATAACCTCCAAGTAACCAGTGATTATCTTAGCGCTGACAGTACTACTTGTGCTATAATATAACTTTTCACACACGTGCATCATAAAATCCATTTTTCTTGCAAATTATACGTAGTTTGTCATTTTGGCGTACTTGACATTCTTTGGGTCCACTACAAGTCCCATACTAGATCATAAAAGTCATTCAATACTCCCAGGTTTTCAACGGTTATCCAGCCGATATCAATCCTTTATGAATATCACCCTAAAATCTGTGGCCTCTCACCCCGAAATGAATTGCTTTGGAAATTACCACCCGGTAGGTTGTCTGCCTCAGAGTTAGTGCGGCGAATCCTTACACTGTGATGACCCTGCCTACTAAGAAAAAGGCTATTATATTAATACAGCAATCATAGTGACCTCATTTTCATGTAATCAATTATAATACAATGAATTTTTCCCGTCGGCGAGTACAATAAGCCCGATTATTCTACACGGATGAGCGTGATCTTTTACTCTCCTTCCTGATTTCTGGTGTACGCCTGTTAGGTATGTTCTTGTTCCTGTCATTCGTGCAGCTCGGTAACCCTTTGTTATCACCAGCCATTCACCTATGCCATATAAGCTTGGAAGTGTCAAACTTTATCCAGGAAGTGTAAATCTTATTGTCTCAAAGTCGGAAGATCAGAAGAGAGGCCTTGTAAATCCTTTGGGGGATTCTGCCCTCCTACATTTCTCTCCTGAGATGCAGGCCAAGTTAGTCGTAGAAATCAAGACAGATCGAACCCCCTGACTTGCTCATGATAAGTTTTCTTGTCACTCATGACTGGTGGTTGATGAGATATGGTTGACCCAGATATGGAGATGTTGAAGGTAATTAGTGATCCGATTGATGAGAACATAATCCTATCGGGATGCCATATCGTCGGACCCTTAGTGAGCATACTGGGACACTTGGTTTTATATAACACATCTCAGAAAACAGGGTGGGAACAGATTGGGATCAATGTAGGCAAATGTGTACTGAAGAAGAAGGCAGCCACAAATGAAATTTAGTAAATTTGAGCTTTATAAGACTTTAGGAGAGAATACATCTGTGCCAGTGTAAACGATTTTCAGCCATGTCATCAGGAGTCTCCAAACATTAGTTTCCGTGGTCTTGCGGACCCCAGCCATGTAGTCTAGACCTCATTAAGCAGATGAACCAGCTAGGAAATACTTCATAGGTTGATGAGTCTTATTCCAACCTAATCCAACTTCTAGTCATTCACATCTGGCTAGGCTACGACTTGGCCGTGTGCTACACATACTGAGGGTTCACAACCTTATAGACCGACTTCACCTCCATGCCTAGTACCTTTCGCCTAACGTCGACAATACTCGGGCGGCGATAACACACTACGTTAGCAATGAAGACACCAATGCTCGGAAAGCTGTGGTCCCTTCGTGTCTTATGCTTTTTATGGCCCCGCATAGCAGATCTATAACAGGACAGATCAAACCACAGCACCCAAATCCTAAATAATTGCCGGGCATGATCTGAGGTTGGTCCATTCTCCATTACTGTAACGTTCACCACCTACCACTCCCCACGATCATTGCGAAGATTGTGGCTGACTTGCCATAGCTGCTCAATTAGACTAGAGGCCGATGTAATCTGTCTTCTCATATCAGCCAGATGACGTTGCTAAAATCTAGTGACTTTTGCCGATATAGATTACCAACCGTCCTTATAGCTGTTTCCACAGCAGACTTTGCATCATGCTAGGTTTCCTCGGTATGAGCACTGCTGTCGCTTTCGAGTGAATGCTTCACCACTTCTCCTTGAACGCCTGCTTAGTGTACTCAACTTCAAATCAATCGTACACAAACCTCATTACCTTCCGTTCCCTGCTACCAGTAAGACACATGCGTGCACGTCCCCATACTGCCACGTGATTGAGGTTCGAACTGGCGCCATGCAGATATCAGTGATTCTCCACCGTTCCTCTCTAACAGTGGCTACAGTGCCTCCCCTCGTGCCAAAAATTAGTGGTGGCCAGCAATGGCCAACAATCGACCGTGCATAATCGTAACACACGATCACCGCTGTCGGTTGGTTGGCATGAGATACCTTGGATACTCCAAGAATGCCGACTGACTCAGCCTCCTCAATTCAGCTTTAGTCACCTGTTACAATTATATCGATAATAATATTGATAACTGCGTCTGAATGTATTGCCTTCGGTAGCAAACTTGACAGCTTGGTGTGGAATTCATCCTAAACATCGTCTAGAGTGCGGTCATCAGGTATGCAGGAAAAAACTATGAGCTAGCATCGCTTGGTCTCACGACCCTTCCCATTTCTTACACATCCGTTCGGTTGGACAGCGCTCAGATAGCTGTTGACTGGTATCCAGTGAAGAAGTGCCTTTTCTGTTACTTAGTGCCATGCCTACTCCACGGAGTTCATATGATCTAGCCACTGAGTCCTGGGACACTTGTAGGGCGAATCTTGAAGGTCCGGGTGACATGACGTCGTTTACGCACTGAGGTCTCGTGCACGTGTTTCAGAACACTCGGCATGGGGCCATGCTTTGAGACCCGGAGTTTTAGCATGAGTTTTGAACTTTGGGCTACTCGATGTGAGGTTGGCGGTGAGATCTTAAGAAACAATGAAATAGGTTTATACGGCTTCGATAGCTGGCAAGGGTAGCAGGATGAGAGGATGAAAAAGCTATAGGAGGTTTAATATCAGTGTCAGAAACTGAATTCAAAGGAGACGACCAAGGTAGAGAGTAAGTTATATTTGAATAGGTTCTGTAAAC